GCTGGAATGACCTGAAAATAGCAACGGATGAATTTCACAGTCTTCAGAAGTTGGCTAGATACCTTAATTGCTACATAGTGTTGCACACTCTGCATTAGTTCCTGACCACTCAAGTTGTGTCTCTTTTTTTCAAGGAATTTGAATGGGAGAGAACTGAAGGAAACTCTTAGAAGTCTGACCATCTTTCCTATGATAAGAACTAAAACCAGATGATGGGTAATGCTTTTAAAAGCAAACTAAATCAAATTCCCCTAATTATTAAGGGTATATGAGTTTTGTAAAAGAAGTTTTAATTCCAAAATGTAAGTGAAATTATGTTCTGACAATAATGGTATAATTTTTGATTTAGGAAGCATTTGTGTAGGTAACATACTTTGACTAAGCATTGTTGGTAATTATTAGGAATATGATACAGCCCTCCATGAGAGAGAACAAAAGGACATATATACTGTAATTTTAATTTTTTTTAAAAGTGATGGTTTAAACCCCCTAGAATGCAGTAGAGGTAATGTTATGTTACTTTCCTGTGTGTCCACCCTAGCAAAATTAGTACCCCTATTTCAGCAACCAACAGTAATGGCACGGATGCAATCGTACTTATCTTTTCATATAGGACCTTATGTGTTAGGTTTAATCAGGATTTCATAAAAGCAGTAAAACCCAGAGCCCTTTCCACACTAGCACATGCACCTTTACTACTATCGGTGCAGCTGCTTTGTTTCTGGCAGTTGCTGAAATACTAAGTTTTATGTAGGTGAATATGGTAAATCCCAAGTTGAATTCCTGTGGAGGTTTCTGGGAACAGGGAAAACTGCTGAAGGGGAAGTAGATTTGAATCAGGGAAGATTAGGTTTTACATTGGCAAAGAATGCTCTTTGGATTATAATTCCTATTTTAGACTACATTTGGAGAAGGGGGAGGTGGCATTGTATTCCAAAACTCCTATGGCGCTTCACTGAAGTAAAAAATTCACAAAGGTCTGATTTGGCTGTTTTATTGCTGAATGTTTGAAGGTCTATATTGCTGGAACACACATCCTTCGTTTGGGTAGGATTAAGTTTACATATATGTATTTTATACCTGTTTTTGATTTATTAGTTTGCTGGTACATGTTTAGGTGCAAAAAAGTTAAATAGTTTGGTATGCTACTGCTATGCATGGTCGAGAAATGAACTATGGAGAGCATAAACAGGAAGTGCTAAGGCTTGTAACTTAATGCAGGAAGTATGAACATGATGTGCATTTTGTTGACATTCCCTTTAAAGGAATTTTACCATTGCTGGGTATCTCCTGAAAAACCACAATTTTTAACTAGTACAGCTATTTACAGATTAAACTGTAAAACAGAATACCTATTTGTCAGTCAAGGTATAAGGGGTACATACAGTCTAACTTGGTGCACCTTGAAAGCATACTATATTGAGGAACAGAGGGAGTTGTTGAAGATTCTTGAAGATCCACAGGAGATACCTCTTACCCTAAAGATCTATCTTGTTCCTCTCTGGATGAGGAGGTGACAGCTGCTCCAGTATCACCTCCCGATGACGTTGAGTTCTTTCAGCAGTTACTGGGAAGGATAGGGAGAGCAGATAAGTTGACACTCTCCATTCCAATCTGCCAGACAGATTGGCAATGCAAATAAATGGAGTCGTAGAAGCCTGCAAAAGATCTATGGCAGACTTCAGCCTCTCTACTTCCAATGTGAAATGAGCAGAAGAAAAGATACCAAGTTGCGCAAAAGATATTTGAGTAGTTCTACTTGCATTCGACTCCTAGCTCCCTACTGGTATCTGCAGCACAGGCGAAATCCAAGCAGACAGGACCACCTAAAACCACGCTCCTGAGGACAAAGATCCCTAGAGATTTGACCTCTTAGGTAGAAGGACCTGCACTCGGGCATCTCTTCAACTACAGACGGCCAACTGTCAAACCCTATTTTCTAAATATGACTATTTAGCATGGGATAGAGTATCACTGTTCATTGAGCTCCCCTAGGAAGCTAGGGCTGACCTGATAGCCATTGTTTAAAAGGAACAATTAGTAGCCAGAACTTGACTCCAAGTGGCCTGTTCCATGGCCATAGATATCACCATGAGAAGGGCATCCTTATTACACTCCTCAAGGATTCTCAGAAGTCCAAATGACTAAAGAAGATCTCCACTTCGAAAGTCTGGATCTATTGAGCTCCTGCATGGATGAGTTCTTGCATATTGTTAATGACTCTAGAGCTGCTCTGATGTTATGCTTATAAGAAGCACACGGAAGGGGGAGGGATAGCTCAGTAGTTTGAGCATTGGCCTGCTAAACCCAGGGTTGTGAGTTCAATCCTTGCGGGGGCCACTTAGGATTCTGGGGCAAAAATCAGTACTTGGTCCTGCTAGTGAAGGCAGGGGGCTGGACTCAATGACCTTTCAGGGTCCCTTCCAGTTCTATGAGATAGGTCTCTCCCTCTCTATAAAATATTTATATTTAATCTTTTTAAAGGGGATAAGGCAATAGACCACGTTTATGAGAATACAATTTAAGCATTGAAATTAGCATATACACACACACACATACACACCACTCAAAGGTTCTGCAGCTGGATCTTATAGTTACCAGTCCTAGGTGTTGCTCGGTCAGGTCCAGTGGCCGGGAGGGAGGGGGAGCTGGGCTCTGTCAAACGCGGCCAGCACATCCCTCGGCCTGCGCCGCTTCCCGCAGACCCCACTGGCCTGTAGCAGTGATCCGCGGCCAGTGGGAGCCGCGATCGGCCGAACCTGTGGACGCAGCTGGTAAACAAACCGGCCCGGCCCGCCAGAGTGCTTACCCTGGTGGCCACGTGCTAAAGGTGCCGATCCCTGGTTTAGCATTATTTAGTTGTTACCGGGAGGATCCACAGCTGTTTCTTATTTGTCTCTTTGGCTCAACTCCTTATCTCGTCCTTGGGGTGTATGCCTTTGCTTTAGGGCGGTCAATCTGCGATCCGGGTGATTGATAATAAAGTTGGTGTCTCTTGACTCCTCCACTCCCTTCTTGATCATCCGGCCCAGTTATCCTTTCTCAGTTAATCACCATACATTCTTCACTCACACCAAACAGCAAGTAAGGCAATTATAGCCATAAAACTTCTATCCTTCTGAGAGCAAATGTTAACACAATCAGCAAAGAATAAACTCAGAACAATTTCTTCTTACTAATTCAAGGCTACAATTTCTTCTTACTAATTCAAAGCTAGCAAAATAATCAAAATGGAGTACAATTTTACTTGAGACAATTTCTTCCCATTAGGCTTTTGGCCTACACTGGGATCCCTGGATGTCTATACACCTGCTCCCAGGAGAAGACCTCTAAGATAACAGGGACAGTTCAGAAAGTTTCCTCCTATCAGCAGTAGTGCTTGATAGACTATTGCCACCTCCCCTTTGAACTCTTATCCAAGTGATCTCTTCACCATCTCACTCTTAAGTCTTCCTGGTGGCTGTCACCTCAGCCAGGAGCATTAGTAAGATTCAGGCCCTTATAGACACTTTCCTCGGGATAAGATGGTGTCTGGGTGTTTGCTTTTCTCCCCCCCTTCCGCCCCCCATTTAAACCATCAACCTCCTGTTTTCTTCTCCAAAGCACCCTGAAACTTGTGAGGAAGTACTTTATATGTTTTCAGAGTTTGTTTCTTTATTACTTAGACAGGACAAAGCCATTCAAGAAATCACCCTGTTTTTGGCATTGGGGAAGGGTGTGCAAGGTCAGGCCAACTCATCCCAGAGATTGTTCAATTCAGTGCATTACAATCTGTTACCAACTGGCAGATACGCCCTTTCCATCAGGAACTCAGGCCCATTCAACTATAGCCGAGACTACCTCTTTAACATGCCTAAAATATTTGTGTATCTGAGATATGCAGAGCAGCCTTTTGGCACTCAGCCCACATCTTTATCAAAAATTATACCCTGGATTTGATGATGTGAGCGGTTCTTAGTTAGCTGTAGTTAAGACCGCCTAGTACTCACCTCCTATTAATTTGGAACTGCTAGCTAGTCTCCATAAGAGGGATCCACACAAGACTCAGAGAAAGAACAGTTGCTTACCTTACAGTAATTGCGATTCTTTGTTTTGTCTGTGTGGATCCCAAAAGCTACAGATTACAACAGGGGATTGATCCTCAGGGCTCTTTGGTTCTATAGACAACTGTTTTGACCAAGTTACTTTGCTGTGCTTCAGATTTCTGCTTAAATGGGCATAATATATGCCTTCGTCATAAAATCATTGAGTCTTTATATTTATAAACCACTTTGATACTGAAATGAAAGTCATTGTAAATGTTTAGCTTTGTATTATCTCTTTAGTGTAGAAGTAGCATTCATTTTGCAGTCTTTTTTTTTTAAATGGCCTGGAAAAAATCATGCTGTAAAGTAGAAATATAGTTGTTTCTCTGCTACTGCAGAATTTTATTTGAAGGTAGGTCTATTTGCAGTACTTAACTGGCTTTAAAATCTCTAATCATGGTGATTCCCTTCTTTAATTTTTGGCTAATATTATTGTCCAACACCTTTCTTTTTGCCTTTGTTAGTTTCATAATGTGATCAGAAAACTGTATAGTAAAAGTAGCTGAAGTCAAGAATGGGAGTTAAATTTCTGAACTCTTAAAGAGGATTTTATTCACTTCTCTAACAAAGGCAGAGGGAAAAATATTTTCTGCTCTTCTTCATCTTTTTCAACCACCCTTCCTGATGGGAAAAAAAAAATCTGCTTTTGACTATTATTTTCCTTTGTTTCATGATTGATGTCCAGTGGTGATTAAACTGTAAATCAGTCTCAGAAATAACCTTTTCCCCTTAACATATACATATTTATTTAAGGCTACTTTTAGTTTGTCTTGGAATTTTTAATTATTTTGGCACTTTTTCTTGACCAGTTATGTATTTTTTGTGCCAGATGATAATAAATTTGAAAATTGTGATATAAAGAAATGGTTAGATGAAATGTAATGTTTTTCAGGAATTGTTCTTTCTTTTCTTTAGGATAAAAGATTGCCCTCTCAGAGAAACTTAACCTGTGGGGTTTTGTTTCTTTTGGAGCAACAACTCAATGAACTGATGATAGCAGTTAAAGTGCATTTGGCAGCTGACTTTGTCACAGTAACAAGTGACTGCAAGAAGTGACAAACTGCAAAGGATTTGTATGTTCCCTGGCTACTGAGAATATGCACAGTATCTCAGATATTGGAGTGGCTGCAGTTTCAACATAGATCAGTTTACTGCTTGTAAAGATGTCGGTTAGCGCAACAGAGTGTGACCCTCCTAGATTCTTTGTGGGTGGTGAAGATGGAGATGAATTATTGGATTCATCCAGATCTGCCGACTTCGATCATTTCTATGACCATGCAGAGGAGGAGGATGAAGAGTATGATTCTGTAAGTACTGTAGGAAAGTATCTTTTTTAAAGGTATATTTAATGTCATAACTTACTTTAAAATACTAAAGGCTGAGAAATATTATTCTCAGAATTTACAGGTACTGTGATCATAATATGCATTAGGAGTTTGATTCTGTTAGTTGCTGAGCGCATTAGACTCAACCCAGCAAAATATTTGAGCACATGCTTAACTTAAATAATGAGTAGTCTACTAAATTCAAAGTTAAGCATGTGCTTTAGTTCTTTGGTCGATTGGAGCCAGGCAGCTCAGAATCTTGCAGGACTGAGTCCTTTGTGCAACATGTAGAAATAAAGGCATCAATAAAAATAACTTTATGGCAGGGGTGGGCACACTTTTTGGGCTGAGGGCCACATCTGGGTGAAGAAATTGTATGCAGGGCAGGGGGTTGGGGTGTGGGAGGGAGTGCGGGGTGTGGGAGGGGGTGCGGTGTGCAGGAAGGGGCTCAGGGCAAGGGATTGGGGCAGAGGAGTGGTGCGGGGTGTATGAGGGGGCTCAGGGAACGGGCTTGGGGTGCAGGAGGGGGCTCAGGGCGGGGCTTGGGGTGCAGGAGGGAGCTCAGGGCAGGGGTGTGGACTGCCGGAGGGGGCAGGGCAGGGGGTTGGGATGCAGGAGGGGTGCGGGGTGTGGCAGGTGGCTCAGGGCAGGGGGTTGGGGTGCACAGGGATGCAGGGTGCAGCAGGGAGCTCAGGGTAGGGGTTTGGGGGTGCAGGGTGTACGAGGGGGCTCAGGGCAGGGAGTTGGGGTGCAGGAGTGGTGCGAGGTACAGGCAGGGGGCTTAGAGCAGGGAGTTGGGGGGTGGGAAGCAGGAGGGGTTCAGGTTCCAGCCCAGCGCTGCTTACCTAAAGCGGCTTTGGGATGGCAGCGGTTCCCCATTCCTGGCCAATGGGAGCTGTGGGGGGCGGTGCCTGGAGGCAAGGGCAATGCACGGAGCCCCCTGCCCTGGGGCCGCAGGGACGTGGTGCCGGCCACTTCTGAGAGTGGCATGGGGCCCACAGCACCACAGGGGGGCAATCCCACGGGCTGGATCCAAAGCCCTGAGGGGCCAGACTCCTGCTTTATGGTCTTAGAATAAGTATATCTACTAGCATATTTGTAGCTACTTTCTCTTGGTGCTACAGGACTCTTCTTTGGCCTTCATCAGTGTAGTATACAAGTACCTATTCAGATTACTTTAAAAAAATGGGGTCTTAATGACTGTTGTTGGTGAGTCAAGATATGAACCCAGAGAAAAAAATATATTTATAAAAATTCTTCAATTTAGAAAATCACTGATTAAGGTTCTCGTTTCAGCTTTAATATGAAATCATGTTATGTGAAGAAAGTCACATACTAATAACTTCTAAAAAAATTCTGAACATTTTTTTTCCTTGTGTTGCTTCAGAGTTCACATATGTGCAATTTTCCGGTGCTACAAGTTTCAGTCAGTAAGCAAGTACTTAGCCTCTGAAATTTTGCAATTTAATTTACATTATACTGTACTTACTTCTGAAGCAGTGATCTAAAATTGATATTTGGGTGATTGCATGGTCACTCATGATTATCATGGTAGGGTAGTGGATGGAAAATAAGTATGATTTTTTTCATTCCCTTAATTACTCCTCATTTTCCAGTAATTGACTGCCACCTTTCCACTCTCTTGTTATTTCTTACACTGGTCTCTAGAAATACACAAGGAAGTAGGGTTTGTTTGGTTTTTTAATTAATTAATTTATTTAAAGTATACCATAGATGGTCTTTCAGAAGGTTCTGAGCTTGGAGTTACAGTTGGTATATTTGCTATCATCTTAGCTTGACTGATATTGCAGCTCTTGCTTTGCAGTCTATCTAAATCATTATGCTATAACTCTTTTTAAAACTACAGTTCTTAGCTCAGCCTTTGCTTCAAAATAATACTAGAAGATGCATAACTTCTGACTTCTCCAGGAAGTGGTCACTAGACTACATTTTCATTGATTGTGAGCATGTTTGCTTATAAGCTAAGCGCAATAAACTCTTAATGCATCATAAGGCTGCACAGTTAAAATCAGTTAGGAAATGCAAACTAAGCATCCAATAGCATTTGATAACTTGGACTGTATTGGCTTTTGATATATTTGTGGTATACATTAAGAAAAAGTTGTGCACTACACATTTAAATAAATCCACTTAAAATCGTCACATTTTCTTATCTCTAAAAAATTTGCTTTCCTCCAACACCAAAAATTTGCTGTGTGAAAGATCCACTCAAAAAAGGAGAAACCAATATAAAGAGAATGTGAAACTGGCTATACAGGAAGTGTTGTGAAATGCACAAAGTAAACAGAAAAACTAGAGAGAGATTTTTCTCTAATCTGTTACAATAATCCTACTTTACTTGTAACAATAGTGTGTAATAAAATAAAAGGAGGTTTGGGGCTTCTAGGTATGTCTAAATTATTTACATTAATTTCCAAGGGAATCTTCTGCATAATCTCATTCGGTTTTGACATTCACAGCTCAGTTTTTGATTCTCTCAAATTTGTGCCTGAGAAAAGCACCCATAACAATATTCATAAGTGTGCATTAGTGCATCAGAACTGGTAAAGAATTATTGCAATGCTAGTACTGCTGACAATTTGTCAGGTCATTCTTCATGTGGCAATAGTAAGGCAAATTGTCAAACACTGTTTTTTGTGAACATCTAATATTGCAAATTGCTAGATGATAATTTAAAAGTAATATCTACAAATGTTGGATTGGAATATAATGTTCCTGTTCATTGGCTAGTAAAGCACTTATTGTATGCTGGGAATACTTAATCACTCTCCTTACCACCACAAACAAACAAAACCCAACACCACTAACTCTTTATTTTTTGTGTTAGCCACCAGAAAGGCTGATTGTGGTTGGGATATGTTCCATGGCAAAGAAATCCAAGTCCAAACCAATGAACGAAATTCTGGAACGCCTGTCCATGTTTAAGTACATCACAGTGGTAATATTTGAAGAGGATGTCATTTTGAATGAACCTGTAGAAAACTGGCCTTTATGTGACTGTCTCATTTCTTTTCATTCTAAAGGTAAAGCTTTTCAAGTAGTAGCATGAACCTCTCACTTTTAAACTTCATTTTGCCTTTTTTTTTTATTCTTTTAATTGAATATTTAGCCGAATTACAAGATAGCAGTTTCTAGGGGCTTTTTGTTTTGGGTATTTGAAAAAAATTAACATCACAATTATAATATTTGAAACCCAGCTTTTAGTATTTCAGCTATTACAGTGTTAAAATATTATGGTATTAAATATTTGGGATCATCTCATCTGCTGTGGCATTTGAAATCTAATTGCTGACCAGGCAAATAACATTTACTTATGAAGCTATCAAATATACTTGTTCACCTCATCCCAGTAAGCACAGGACCGTTCTCACTTAAAGAAACACTTTTGTACATCTCTTGAGGAATCTTGCTCTATAAGAAACAACGTTCATTCTGGATAGTCACATCCCCTCTACCTCTCTCCTCTGTACACTGGCAAAATACTAAAGTATTCAGTGTCTAGAGATGTAGAACACAGTTTTCTAATGGTTGGAATAAAAGGGCAAGGAGCCAGAGGAAAAGTGTTTTCTAGTAGTCTAACTTGATTATAATGGGTTACTAGGCTACTCTGACTTTTGTGCATAGGTCAATTCAGCTATAGATCACACTGATTAAAACAAAAATAAAAAAAACCTCTACTCATTCAGGTCATATGTATAATATTGAAATTGAAGGGTTTTTTTACCCAAATACTTAAACACGACACTAGTAAGTTAATATATATTCCTTAATAAACCTTGTTTAGGATTTCCACTGGACAAAGCAGTTGCCTATGCAAAACTCAGGAATCCATTTGTAATCAATGACTTGAACATGCAGTATCATATACAAGACAGGTAAGTAATAACCACAAATCAGATATAAACCACTTCAGTTCTATTTTACTGAAAATCAGCAATTAAAAAAGGTATTTAAGACTGTGAAATACTAGTGATATGTAATATCTTGGGATTGTCATCACAATGACAACACCAATATATGCATCATTCTACAGTAGTCTAGTAAATATACTGGCTGACAGTATCTCAAAAATAGTGTGTGTGTGTGTATGTATATATATATATATATAGGAAGGACATTAGGGACATACCTAAGCGAGATAACTTGTGATTACTATTTTGACTGCAGTAGTACCCACTATCTTTCCAAACTGAGAAAGCTATATATATAAGAGTGTGTGTGTGTGTGTGTGTATATATATATATATATATGTTCTTATGTTCTTACATACATGTAGAAGACAGTAAATTACAAAACAAATGACTAGTAAATAATAAATAGGTGTATCTTGTTGACCTTAATCTGGTATTGGACTGTACTGCCTTTGATCAATCCTTTAGAATTATTTATTGCTTTATATTGTGGTATCTCTTAGAGGCCTGGTCTAGGTCAGGACCTCATAGTGCTAGGTTCTGTACAAACATATAGTAAATGACAATTTTTGCCTCAAATTGTTTACAGTCTGAAAGTAAATCTAGAATGGAGTAAGGGCGGTGCCTTTCTGAGGGCACGTCTTCACTACCCGCCGATCCGGCAGGTAGCAATCGGTCTATCGGGGATCGACTTACCGCGTCTAGTGAAGACGCGATAAAATCGATCCCTGATGGCTCTACCGTCGACTCCAGAAGGCGGTAGCAGAGTCGGCGGCGGCGCGGCAGCGGTCGACTTGCCGCCGTCCTCACAGCCAGGTAAGTCGACCTAAAATACGCCACTTCAGCTACGCTATTCACGTAGCTGAAGTTGCGTATCTTAGGTCGGCCCCCCGCTGTAGTGTAGACCTAGCCTCAGTTTGGAAAGATTTAGCAGATAGTGGGTACTACTGCAGTCAAAATAGTAATCACAAGTTATCTTGCTTAGGTATGTCCCTAATGTCCTTCCCTTACCCACACCAGTTGAAGCTCAAGCAGTGAGATCCTGATGTTGAGTTTTTAAAATTAATTAAGAGTTTAATTTTTTTTACTTTCAACTTTGTTCTGTGGAAACATTTGTAATTACTGTCAGTCTCAAAGTATTATTTCATGAGCATTTCACTTTGTCGTTGCACAAGACACTTAGTGACAAACATTGAAAGATATTGGCAATGGTAGAGGCCGAGATAGTAATTGTGAAACACGACAGTGGTTGTGAAACAAAGAGAGGTTTAGTTGAAATTATATTAAATCAGAGGTGGGCAAACTACGGCGAGACGCACCATGCGGCTCGGCCCCACTCTGGCTGGGCTCTGGGTCGGGGGCCGCACCATGTGACTCGGCCCTACTCCACCTGGGGTGCAGGGTCGGGGCTGCATGACGCGGCTTGGCCCCCGCTCCAGCGCTCTGACCTGCGCGCAGGGTCGGGGCCATACCACGTGGCTCTTGGAAGCCGCAGCATGGCCCCGCTCCGGCTCCTACGCACTCCAATGGGAGCTGCAGGGGGCGGTGCCTGTGGATGTGGCAGCGTGCAGAGCTGCCAGGATGCGCATAGGAGCCAGAGAAGGGACATGCAACTGCTTCCGGGCGCCACTTGAGGTAAGCGCTGCTCGGAGCCTGCCTCTCCCCACGCCCCAACCCCCTGTCCCAGCCCTGATCCCCCTCCTGTTCTCCAAACCCCTCAATCCCAGCCCGGAGCACCCTCCTGCACCCCAACCTCTCATTCCCAGCTCCACCCCAGAGCCTGCACCCCCAGCCGGAACCTGCACCCCTTCCCGCACCTCTGCCCCAGCCCTGATCTCCCTCCCACCTTCCGAACTCTTCGGTCCCAGCCCAGAGCACCCTCCTACACCCCAAACTCCTTATCCCCAGCCCCACCCCAGAGCCCACACCTCTTCCTGCACCCCAACCCCAATTTTGTGAGCATTCATGGCCCACCATACAATTTCTATTCCCTGATGTGGCCCTCGGGCCAAAAAGTTTGCCCACCCCTGTATTAAACAGATGAGTCTCACTGAAATGCACAGAGAAGTTAGTTATGTCCCAAAAAGTCAGATGTTACAGTTCATATACTATTTGTTATACTTACGTACAACATTATTTGACTATAGAGTTCATGTAGTTTATTTGCTAAGTTTTTATCCACAAAATTTATGCAAAGCAAAAGCCTGTTCAGATGTTAGTGTTCTGAGTCCCCATTGTCATCCAAAGTATCTTCTCTGTCTGCATCATGACCTGGAGAAGAGCTCTGGGTAGCTCAAAAGCTTGTCTCTTTCACCAACAGAAATTGGTCCAATTAAAGATATTATCTGACCCACCTTTTCTGTCTCCATCATGCAGAGCAGATATTAATAAATGAATAGTTAATAAAGTATAGAAACACTGGAGCCTTTTGTACAGTAAAAAAAGTACAATTCAGATACTTTCAGACACCTACCAGTTGATGACCAACAGTTGTTGCAACAGTGCACAAGCATTTCAGCAAATTTGGAATTGCACTTGCGTGGAGTAAGTCTCTCCATACTCTGCTGTTCCTGTCTTGTGACAAGCTAAAAGTGTTGGCATTGCAATTCGCACTGGTTCAGTGACATTGGTGTGAAGTGCAACTGTCTAAGTAGACATCCCTTAAAGCACTGCCTACGTGAACAGAGTACCATGATAGTTATGATTATATAAAGTAAGCTTTGGGTTTCATGGACTATAAAATGTAAATATTGTTCAGACTGTATCACTTTGGTTGGATAACCTTTGTGATCTTCTTTTAGGAGAGAAGTGTATAGCATCCTCAAAGCTGAAGGCATTTTACTTCCTCGTTATGCAATTCTGAACCGTGATCCAAACAACCCCAAAGGTAACAGATTTTCCTAACTTTCTTATTAGGGTTCTATTTTTACAACTTGGAGTATTTTGTTAAACATTTTGAATGGTAACCTTTAACGTTCTGAACCCTCTGCTTGCCTGCACCCACTTCTGTGCCCCTTTCCTTTAATTCAATCAGTGACTTCCTGCTCATTGCAAGGGGGAAGGAGATGGGAAGGAGCAGATGCTTACAGCAAAAGTTCCCTACAAAATGTAGTTTTTAACTCTGCTATGGAGGTGCTTCTGACAGATTTTGGACTTGCCATGGTCCCTCAGAAGCAGTCCCATCCTGAATAACTTTACCAAATCTGACTGGCTGGTCTCCCTCTCCCCAACATAATGAGACCACACAGGGCACAGATATTGGGAGACAGTTGGCTAACATTTTGAGCTGGCTGAGGGCTGTTGTGCTGGGAGTGCTAGGGATGAATTGGTACCAAGGAGCCTGCACAGTCAATGTGTTAACACGTCAACAGACTTACAACAAAGATGTTGCTTCTGGGCTAAAAGGGTCAACATCAACAGTTATGGCAAATATGCAAATAACTTCATAATGAAACTAGGCTGTCCAAGCTTCTGTTGATCTAACTAAGGTATTTATATGACCCTCATCTCTAAAGTATCTGAATGCTTCACAGTCTAATGTATTTATACTCACAACATATCTGTCAGGCAAGGAAGTGCTACTATTTGTATTTCTATTCCCATCTCTAAAATATAGAGACTGTATTTAATTAAATAAATACTACTGGGAATTGTGAGATTATGAGAGACTTTAATTTTCCAGATATAGATCGGATGACAAATGCTACTACTAATAATAGGGCCTAGATTTTCCTTAATGTGATAGCTGACAGATTTCTACACCAAATAGTCACCAAACCAACAAGAGGTGATGCCATTTTAGATTTTGTATTGATGGGTAGTTGAGGACCTCATAGAAGAACTGATGGTTGGAGACAACCTTGGTTTGAGGGATCATGAGCTAAATCAGTTTAAACCAAATGGAAGGAGAAACAACAATAGGTCTGCAACTAGGGTCCTTGATTTCAAATGGGAAAACTTTTAAAAATTAAGAGAATTAGGGAAGTGGACTGGACTGGAGAACTCAAGGATCTGAATGTGGAGGAGGCTTGGAATTACTTTAAGTCAAGGTTGCAGAAGCTATTGGAAGCCTGCATCCCAAGCAAGGAAAAAAAATTCATAGGGAGTGGTTGCAGAGCAAACTGGATAAGCAAGCATCTCAAACAGTTGATTAAGAGAAAGCAGAAGGCCTACAAGGAATGGAAGATGGGATGAATTAGCAAGAAAGTCTACCTCTTGGAGATCAGAAAGTGTAACTGTTCTTGCCGACATGCTCTGGGTCCAACTGATCGCCATATTTCGGGTTGGGAGGGAATTTTCTCCCTGGGTTAAAGTGACAGATACTTTGGGTGGGTTTTTTTGTTTGTTTTTTTGGTTTATTTTTGCCTTCCTCTGCAGCATGGGTCACTTGCAGGTTTAAAGTAGAATAAATGGATTTTCTGTAACTTTAAGTCTTTAAATCATGATTTGAGGACTTCCATAACTCAGCTAGAGGTTAGGGGTCTATTACAGGAGAGGATGGGTGAAGTTCTATGCCTCCAGTCTGCAGGAGGTCAGACTAGATGATTACGATGGTCCTTTCTGTCCTTAAAGTGTGAGTCCTTGAGAGGCAATCCATCTGTCCTGAAAATTCACTCTGCTTAAGATTGTTGCCTTGGAATTGGATTCATTCATTGTTTTTCAAAAAAACAGAAGTTTCTTCCTCACTAGAAGTGCAACTCTCAGTGCATCCTTAACTGCATATCGGCCTACTGATGATTCCCTAATACATTTTTAAAAAATGTAACAAATCTTAGTTTTTATATAAGTCTTGTAAGACGCTATGTCTAAAACTGAGAAAGAATCCAGAAAAAATGGTTTAGGGAACATTGGGATTGAGGGAAATACCACAATTGTATTCCGTGAATATAACTAATTTCCTCTTTGAAGGGAAGTTGAATCGTCTGTCATAAAAACTGGAAAAACTATGACGTTTAGAAGGCAAGCTGAGAGCATAGGTCAGAATTTTCCAAAATGATCGATACATTTTGAGTAAAACATTCAAAGTGCCTCAATCACTTTCAGTTGATTTTGAGTGAAGTATATGTCCCTTTTGAAAATAGGGCTTGGGCTCATAAGTTAATGAGGCATTTTTGGAAAATTGTACCCATTGGTACCTCAAAATTTGGAAGCTTAACTTGATTCCTGTTAGAAACCTGAATTTCAGAAAGTGCCGAGTACACCAGATTAGAAACTGTTAAAATAATACAATGGGCCAATCTAACTTCAGACTTGATATAACAAAATATAACACAGCTAGATGGACAGGAGTTAGAGCAATAAGATAACCTGGCAAAAGCTAGTGGAAAGTATAATGATTTTTTTTTAATGTTGTGTGTGTATATAGACTCAGTATTTCATGTCACTGCAATAGAAAGTCATAAAGGGATTTGAATGAGGAGAGGCTAGTGGCCTGGTATCTTGCCTCAGGAAAGGCATTCCACATATAAAGGCAGCTTGAAAGAAAATGGGATATTTGAAGTGGACTAATGGGATATCAAGACTGGTATCACTAAGATGGTTTGGCAGGAAGGCCATTAGAGACCCATTTTTTGAGAAATGGATGTCCCTTGTCTACTAGGTCTTAATCACATTTATAGTAGAGACATTGAACCTGGATCCTTCTAATATACATGGACAAATATTCTCTCACACCTGATGTTGTCGGAGGAGGGGAGAGGGAAGGGGGAATGAAGATGCAAGTGTAGCTGTGATAGCCATAAAAGAGACAATCTTACTTCAAAAATAATTAATAAAGTCATTTACTTACATCATCCATTTAACTATTGAAGTCTCTTTGTGTTCCCCCTTTTTGTTATGTATTGCATTTGAGTCCAGTAATTTAACTACAGTGGTAACATCAGGCATATGAGCAATGAAATAAGGTTGGATGGTAGATCAAGTTTCAAAGTTCCTTTTGAACTTTCCTTAAACGTTTTAAACAATTGGATAGACCAGAATTTCTTCATTACCTTTTTCCTCCTCAGAAAAAGGCACTCACTTTGATCAGATTCTAGCTCTTGTATCATAAACTTTTTAATCTACAAACTACAGCCAGGAAATTGCACACGGCCTGCTTAAGCAAATGCTGTAGCTGGCTGGACTTTGTGCAATAGGCAACTTGAAAAAAGTGAACTCGATTCAGTTGGAAATTGTAATACAAGGTACTGAAAGTTTGCCAAGTGTTTCTGTATCCATTATGATGCAGTCTTACAGTTTATTCTGTTAATAAATACTTAGTTTCAGAGATTTTAAGATTTTTGTATTTTTAATTTCATTGGTGGTAGAATTGTAGCATGTTATATAAGTTATCTCAAAAATCTGAATTTCTATCTAAGGGTTGGTTTCTAATCTAATATATGGCAGTGAACATGATTGGTTTGAGATGATTAAACAGACACTTTGGGACAGATCATTCATAAAAATAGTACAATATTTGAAATGGAACAAAATGATTTCTTGAGGTTATGTACAAGTATATGCATCTTCTTGAAATAAGAGAGTGGGGGGAGAGATGCTAAGGTGAAGAAAACATTGATATACCAAGGCTGGCTCTGCCCAGTGTGGAAGAATGTGACAATGATGGCTCATTTCCCTGTTCTGTAATGTCAAGGGGATTGTTATGAGCAGGTGTTGCAGCATAGAGGCTGTCTCTCTCTCTCTCTCCCTGAAATTGAGGGACTGAGGCAATCAGATTGGATTAAAAAAAGATCAGTGATTTAAAAATAAATCTTTTTTTAAATAGCATTTTTTATTAAAATACAATATTTTTCTTTTAAAACTATTTTCAATTAAATTTGAAATCATAACTCACATTAAGAGCTAAACTTACTATAATCTATTCAAAAATAATTTAAATTAAATAAAAAAAATCAGGCAATGCATGTTTGCCGCCAAAGTTTTAAAAGACAGACCAGTGAACTGGTGGAAGTCGCTGGTTAAGCATGTGGAACCAGTGTTTGTTGACGCGCTAGACCAGTCTTTGATAGCAGTAGCCTCTTCTGCAGGCGCAGAGAATATTTTCTTTGTTCAGTTTATTCAATTAGTTGAGTTCAGCGACTAGTTAATCAAAAGTTAAGAAACCGATTGGGAGCTACAAAAGTAGGAAAGCTTATTTTTCTCTTCCACTGTATGAATAAAAATGAGGTTTAGAGGATGAGATCTATTAGTTCTAAAATCTTGAAGGACATAGTGACCAGAAACAATCAGTTCAGTTCACTAACTATTGGTAATACATCCTTTTTTTTAAACAGATCAGTCAGTTTTAAATGTAAAACATGTTTTGAAAAACTCATTCTTCTTCTGTATCATGCACATTTAAGGTAGTTTTATTTAACAAATAATTTTAAAATGCTAGTTTTATACATTTTTAATTGAATTCAAGTTTCCATCCACAAATGACAAACCATGAATAGAAAATCAATCTAGTACATAAGAAATGTATCACTCACCATTTTCTTCCATAATAAATGGATCAATTAAGCACCTGAATAAATATATGTTAAATTATATAATTGCTTAAATAAATATGTATAGATAAAGTGTATCCTTCTGGGTAGCAAAAAGAAGTACCAAATTATACCAACCATTGAAAATCTGCCTTTCTTTAGGAGAATAAAGTACAAATGCAAAATGTGATTAAAATTGGTGATTTAGATCAATTTCATGTATGCTCATTTAACTCATAATTAAATTGCTTTGATTTAAATCAATCCATCCAGTAAGCAGGGGTGGTAGAGATGCTGGTGTGTTCTTTCTCTGTGCCTAGATAATGCTTGTAAATCACTGTTGCCCTGAGAAAGTACTTCCCAGTGACCTACAGGGAAGAAACACAGATACTCCCGAGACAAGGCGAGTTCCCTTCCTGCACCTATAGGGATGGCAGAGAGATGCTAAGTTATGGAGAGGAGGGTGATGAGCAGGCACCAGTGCACCATAGTTCACTGGGTTGTTAAGTGTTTTAGGGCTCAGCCCAGCACTGATGGAAAAGATGGAGTAGAGGTCCATCCCCAGTTTGTACCAGGGAGGTGTTCTGGTGCCAAATCTGGGTCCGTTCTTAGTGCTTCCTTCCTTGAATAACTGCTCCAAACATGATTTATAAGAACTTAAATTGGTGATTCAATTTCAATAGTTCAATATTTTTTTTGTCTTAACTAATAAATTGTTAATTTTTGGAAAGTGAGTAATTGTGACTTTTATTGTATATACCTTTACCGCATAATATGTCTTTACTTTGTGCTCATTTCTCCAGAATGCAATTTGATTGAAGGAGAAGACCAGGTGGAAGTGAATGGGGAAGTTTTCCAAAAGCCATTTGTAGAGAAGCCAGTAAGTGCCGAGGACCATAATGTATACATTTATTATCCAACATCTGCTGGTGGTGGAAGCCAGAGGCTTTTTCGAAAGGTGAGGAAATTGCCACATTTAAATTATTTAAAAAAATTATTGTACTGAATGACTGTAATCTTGGTTCTATTATAGTGACTTAAAAAAAACAACCAAACCCTGAAATATCTTTGGAGAATCAGATGCAAATCTACACAAGCCAGAATCAAAAGACCAAATTCTCTAGCAGAGGTATGGCCTGTGTACCACAGAAGTTGTGCAAAAAGGGTCTATAATCTACCTGCAGACAATTTCCTTAACATAGAGGAGGTCTGCTAGGATATCTACACTGCAACCAGGGTCTGCTTCTCTGCCCACCATCTTGTTGTGCATATGAATGGATTCATTTTCAAGAATACAAGTTGCCTAATATACTGGTGGTTTAAACTAAACTGATGAGAGAACATACACGAACTACTCTTGAGGAGGTTGTTGAATTTTCACCTCAAATACTCAAACAGGTTGGAACAGAAGCTGTTATAGAGATCTGTTGACCTGAATCTGTTGACTAAAACTAAAACAAGGTTCTTTCTAGTGACAATGCATTCCTACTAACTTTTGATTAATTAAAAAGTCATTGCAATTAGCAGTGAGGATACATACTGAGGCTGGATGTAATGTAACTTTGTGTATAGCCTAAATGTAGTACTGTGTAATTTCAGAGTCTGTGCCCTTAGTCTGGTAGTGCTGCAGGATATTAGCACAGAGGTAGCATTGTACCATTTTATGGTATAGAAGTAGTCAGTCATTGGGAAACTTTTATTTAATATTTTCAACCTCTATTAAATAGATATGACTTCATAGTCAAGTCTCTAAATAGTTTAATGTATTTGTATCTATAAAGCCATCCTTTGTGGAATATGTTTAGTTAGTTATCCAAAAGCAGGAGGGGGAGGGAATTGTGGAAGAAGAGACAGAAATCAGCTCTGAGAGTGTGCATATTTAAGGAGTTGAAAGGGTCTATCTTAAAGAGAGGCTTTAATAGAAAATATTTGTTTCAGATTGGCAGCAGGAGCAGTGTTTATTCCCCTGAAAGCAATGTGAGAAAAACGGGCTCCTACATTTATGAGGAGTTCATGCCTACAGATGGCACTGATGTAAAGGTATGAAACTGCACATTCTGATTTATATTTAGAACAGTCAAATACTCCAAGAGCTTTGGCAATTTTTGAGATGAAAATGTGTCTTGTGGGGTGGCAGGGCTCAGGCAGGCTCAGACTTTGGTCCCCCCTTGTGGGGGTCGTGTAATAATTTTTGTTGTCAGAAGGGGGTCACGGTGCAATGAAGTTTGAAAATAATTAGTATTAGAAATTATTAGTTATTATTAGTAGACATTTGAGAAGTATTAGTATATTTACTAATAAACTATGACTAATTATAAATGTACACTGCTTTGTAGAAAATACACTAAAAGTACATTGTTAATACATTATCTATACTTTTTTTTAGTTCACTTGCTTTATATATTTAGTTTTTATTAATTTAGATTTAAAATAATTATAAAAGATTAGGCATCCTCACATTATTATTAATAAAATAAAATCCCAGCAGTGTTAAAGTAATTATTTCAGCAGGAACTCAGCCAGTCACCTACAGAATTTCCTTCCCTTAATTGTGTGGGGAGTAGATCCTGGAAAGTCACCAAATTCATGTTATTTTGGACCATGGGAGGGATCAAGTGCCAGAGTCTCTGAGCCCTTGCTGCGAACGCCCTACCAAGAACCCCCTCTTATAATGAGGGGGAGATCCTGCTTGGATACTTTGGCTGCCCATAACTGTGACGGTATGGCATGTGGAGAGGCAATCTTTCGGGTAGGCCTACTCCCAGGCTAGGTAGAACTTTATGGGTCATAACCAACATCTTAAACTCCACCTGGAGACCAGTAGGAAGATGGTGCAGTGCAGATTCCAGAGTACTGATGTTGTATACTCCCAGTTAGATGCCTTGCTTGGTAAGCAAGCTACTGCATTGTTCACCATTGTCACTCTTCAAATGTTTTTAAGGTGTAGCCTCATATAGAACACATTGCAGTAGCTAATCTTGAGGTTATGAAAGCCTGAGTCAGAGCCTCCTAGCCAAACACAGATGGTAAAAGGCGGCCTGTGTTGTAATACAACCAAACAGAAGCTGGGGGTCTAAAATTAACCCTAAGCTGCAAACTCTCATAACTAATGGATGTATTCCAGCAATCAGAGGGACTGATGTTACCTCCATCCAATTGCTTCCCCAACTCTGCTCACCCTCATCCATTTCTTAATCTCAGTTAGACACTGGCTGAGCTACTGAATCACATCAGATGTGATGGAGACATACAGTTTAGGTGTCATCAGCAAGTTGCAAACACCACGCCTCATGCTTTCTAACAACCTCATATACACAGTGAACAGGACAGGTGACAGAATGGCATCCTGCAGGAGCCATACCTGAGAATTCTTTGGGAAGAGGAGCAATTGCCCACAACTACCTATTGACATCTTGGAGAGAAAAGAACGAAGCTATTGAAGACAGAGTAGTCCTGACAAGTAACACCTCCCTATGATCAGTGGTATCACAGGCAGCTGATAGTAGTAGTACCTGTATAGACAAAGGATCTTCATCCAGGAGGAGATTATTGACCACTGCAGTCTGTGCCAAAGCCACGCCTGTACGTAGTGTGACAAGGGCCTAGGAGGTCAAAGACCTCTAGATACAGTGAGAGTTGTCTCACCACAACCTTCTCCTGGGAAAGATGTGATACTGGTCAATAATTAGTTAGATTGTTAGTGTCAAGCGATAACTTCTTCAGTAAATGCCACACTACAGCTTCCTTTAAAGTAATAGGCAGCCTGCCAGTTCTGAGGCATTAACAGACTCCAGAAGTAAGACCCAGTACTTTTCCATTGGCCTTATCGCCCAGGAAGGACATATATTCAAAATACAGGTTCAGGTATGAAGTTCTCTCAGTACCTCAGCAAGTATTAGTGGCTGAAATTCTAGAAGAGAAGACGAGGCCCTTGTTCTCTCAAGACCAAACTCTGCCACCACAGAAGCATCCCTAATTTGATCAATTTTGTCTGCAAAAAAAATCAAGCAATTTCCTCACAACAGGAGGTACTTGGACTAGCTCCCAAACTGAAATAGTTCGGTAAAACCAGACATTTTACCACAAAAAAAAAAAAAAAATCTGCTGTCTGAGACTTTGCAGGTCCTATGGTGGAGGAAGAGAACTTATTCTTTGCTTCCTTACTGCCACAGCATATGAGTTTGATCAATTGTAGCATAAATATTTTTTTTTAGCCTTGGCACAAGACCTCCACTACTAGTGCTCTAGCCATCTTCCTTCCTGCTTTATTTGTCACTGATAATGCATCAGGCTGGATGTTCTGTGAGAACAAAGCAAAGAGGGAGCCTAGAAGCTACCTCATCATTGGTTAAGAGCATTACCATCTAATTTGCAGTGAGTCTATATGACAGGATGCTATTAATAGCTTCAAACTGGGTTCTGCAGAAACCTGCACCCTTAGAACACACAGGGAACTGTGGTTAAGGGTGTGATTAAGGTATAAGGGAACACTTACACCTGCTGGTGTCCTCTAGATTGAAGGTTGGCCTGTGGGTGGCCACACAGTAATTTTCTGTGTAGACAAGCCCCCGTAATGTTTCTGAACATGTGTATGCTGCTATATGATCTGAACTTGACATAAACTCAGTGTAGCTAAGTTAATAACTTCTAATTTTTAAATAAAGGTGTACACAGTAGGTCCAGACTATGCACATGCTGAAGCTAGGAAGTCCCCAGCTTTGGATGGCAAGGTAGAACGAGACAGTGAAGGAAAAGAAGTGAGATATCCAGTCATCCTGAATGCAAGAGAGAAGTTGATTGCTTGGAAAGTGTGCCTTGCATTTAAGGTAAACAGACCACTTACTAGCTGATAAAATGTGTAGTACTAATTGTTTACTATGTGAAAATTCTGTTAGTCAGTGCTCATAAACAGAGGTATTATTGTTAGAGAGCTCCTGGGATGGAAAAAAAAATTGCACTCACATTTTCTTTCTTTTTTTTTTTTTTTTAATTCTGGTGGACTTCTCCTGTTTTTAAATAATTAGTTTTTTAATATTCTTATTGCATACTGTCAGAGGTGATAAAATGCGGAAAACCTAGTCTACTGCAATGTCTTCATGAGTTGCTCTGCCTGTGCTGGAAAGAGGGAAAAATACCACAAGAAATGAGACGCCAACATCATCACTCTCTATAAAAACAAGGGTGACAGGAGTGACTGTAACAACTATCGTGGCATTTCCCTTCTTAGCATTATGGGAAAAGCCTTTGCCCAAGTTGTCCTGAATAGACTTGCAGACCGTTGCAGACAAAATCTGTCCTGAATCACAGTGTGGCTTCACAGCTGAAAGGTCTACTATCGCTGAGACAACTACAAACAAAACAAACAAACAAAAAAGAGAACAAAAAATGCCCATTTACATATTGTGACGGGATCAGGCCAGATGGCTACAAGAAAGTGATAGAAGGCAGATATATTAGCCTCAGATTAAGCAGGTCCCTTTTCCCTGGGTAAGGTAACGGGCGGTTCCAGAACAATCAGAAACTTGCTGGAACCAATTAAGGCAGGCAGGCTAATTAGGACACTTGGAGCCAATTAAGAAGCTGCTAGAATCCATTAAGACAGGCAGGCTAATCAGGGCACCTGGTTTAAAAAGGACCTCACTGCAGTCAGTGAGGGGCGTGCAAGGAGCTGGGAGCAAGAGGCGCGCAAGAAGCTGAGAGTGAGTAGGTGTACTGCTGGAGGACTGAGAAGTACAAGCGTTATCAGACATCAGGAGGAAGGTCCAGTGGTGAGGACAAAGAAGGTGTTGGGAAGAGGCCATGGGGAAGTAGCCCCAGGGAGTTGTAGCTGTCACGCAGCTGTTACAGGAGACACTAAAGATAGCTGCAATCCACAGGGCCCTGGGCTGGAACCCGGAGTAGAGGGCGGGCCCAGGTTTCCCGCATCCTCTCAATTCCCTATTTGATATAAGAGAAGTTGGTCTAGACTGTGGATCCCACCAGAGGGGAAGGTCTCTGGCCTGTCCCCCGACCCATTAGGTGGGCCAGCAGAGACTGCGGGGTATTGTTCTCTTTTTCTCCATGCTGGCCAGTGATGAGGTTAGCCGAGTGAACGGCAGGTTTGTGCCACTAACAAAAGGAGCCAAACTGAGGACTGCAGAAAACCTCTGAGGCGAGCAAATCTGCCAGAAAGTGCAGAACCCACCAAGGAAGAGGAGGAACTTTGTCACAACAGCCTTTGTCTATCTCACAAAGGCTTTTGACCTTGTCAGTAGAAGTAGACTATTTACGCTTCTAGAAAAGATTGGATGTCCCCCCCCCAAGCTCTCAAGCATGATTTGATCCTTCCATGAAAACACGTATGGCACAGTTCAGTACAACAACTCCGTTTCTGAGGCTTTCCAGATGCGTAACAGAGTTAAGTAAGGTTGTGTACTTGCCCCAACTCTGTTTGGGGTGGTCTTCTCCTTGCTACTGAAACAAGCTTTTGGTTCTTCAACTAAGGGAATCTACTTGCACTCAAGATCTGATGGGAAGCTGTTCAATCTTGCAAGACTCAGATCTAAAACCAAGACTTGAGAGGCCCTTATCCAACACTTCCTCTTTGCTGATGACGCAGCAATGACAGCCCACACAGAAGTCCATCTCCAAAACCTTACGTATGTTTTTTCCAAAGCCTGCCAAGACTTTGGGCTTACCATAAGCCTAAAAAGGATGAACATAATGTGCCAAGGAGTTGAGAAAGCACCCTCCATCAAGATCAACAACTATGAACTTGAAGTGGTAAATAAGTTCACATACCTGGGGTCCACTATTGCAGTCAACCTTTCACTTGAAATGGAACTCAACATCCACATTGGAAAAGCCGCCACAATGTCTAGACTAAAGAAAGAGGGTATGGCAAAACAACAAACTGACAGAACACACAAAGATCTGTATGTATTGTGCATGTGTTATCAGCACACTTTTTTATGGGAGCGAGATGTTGACCTTATACTCTCATCAGGAAAAGAGGCTCAACAACTTTCATATGTGTTGCCTTCATCAAACCTTTGGCATCTCCTGGAAGGACAGAGTCACCAACACTGAGGTGCTCAAGCGGGCCAGCATACCCAGCATGCAAACACTGCTCAACCAGAGATGCCTCTGCTGGCTTGGGCATGTGTGCCGAATGAATGATGGGCGCATCCCAAAGGACATAGTCTACAGCGAATTGGCATCTGGAAAAAGACCCAAAGGACACCCAAAATTGTGTTTCAAGTATGTGTGCAAGTGAGACCTCAAAGAAATGGACATGGATGTGGACAACTGGAAAGATCACACTCAAGACCGCAGCCTTTGGAAACAAGAGCTAAACAAAGGTCTCCTGAGTTATGAGGGGAAGCAGTCCAGCTTATCAGAGGAGAAAAGAGCTTGCAGAAGGCAGAGCCCAAAGGGTCGAAACATCACCTTTAAATGTGACAGATGCAGCAGAGATACTCTCTCGAATGGGTCTCTTCAGCCACAGCCGCGGCTGCCATAAAACCAACTGAGTACATTTTTTACCTCTCAGGGGTAGATTCCCATGGTCTCTCGAGACTGAAAGATGCCTACTACTGCCATTGTGGACAAATAGAGAGATCTGAATTCAGAAACATGCATATTTTTCTCTCCTGTTTTGCATGTGTGCATGCTAGCTTACATTCACTCAGTTTAATTTGTAAAGGCTGATTTTTTTGTATAAAACAAATCTATTTGCATTCAGCTTGCATAATCTTAAATATATGTTTTGTTGGGAACAATGGGCCTTTAGTGATGCAGTTGCAGTTAATCACATAGGTGTGACTCCTAACTGGTGCCAGCACTGGTCCCAGTGCTAGAATATATTAAGCTGTAAAGTCTTCAGTGATGTCAGAACCAAGAGTCCCAAATATAATGTATAGTTTTTGTATTTGAAAACTAATTTGAAATAATCTGGGAAAGGAGCAAAATGTCTTTACTAATAACTATTTAAGGCTTACATCTACACTATGAGCTAGGGTGTGATTTCCCCTCCTCATGTATGCATACTCAGGCTAGCTCTCAGTAAGCTAGCACAAGTATAATAATAGTGTAGCTGTGATAGCACTAGTGGTGACAGCGGAGGCACAGCTGAGCCATGTTCAGTACATTCCCACCAATTTCAGGCATGTGGTTCTACTCTCACACTATCTTTGGGTTAGGAACTGTCTTTTGTTCTGTGTTTGTAAAGAACCTAGCACAGTGGTTCCTGGTCCATGACTAGGGCTCCTATAGTAATACAAATAACAAATAATAATAATCTGAAAAGTGACTGTTAAAAATGGCATTAGTGCATCAAGTTTATAAATAGCATATTTTTTGGTAATTCTGAGAGCTAAGAAGGTGGTGTGTGTATGTGTTTATCTCTCTCTTTAACTCTTACCACTACCAGAAAAGAGGATTCTGCAGTCCAAATTCTATGGACAGTGGGAGTTCTGAAGATAATGTGGATGCACAAGTGTAACGGAAAGCAGAATTTGGCATGCAGAATTCATGTTGCTAGTGATGTGTGAGAAGTTAAGAACTCAGGTTGGGATGTAAGGCAAGTAATTAGGAAAACATTGTGTATAAACTGAACAAATTTAATATGGAGTCACTGAAGAACAATAAATATAGAACCCACAATGCCATTTTTGTGTTGCCTTTTCAGATCTGAACCATACTTAACATGCAGGTCTGGAAACACGAGACCCTTGACTGAAATGGAAACTGTGCTTTTCACTATTTATTCTTAACAGCAAACAGTTTGTGGCTTTGACTTGTTGCGTGCTAATGGACAATCCTATGTCTGTGACGTCAATGGCTTCAGTTTTGTGAAGAACTCCATGAAATACTATGATGATTGTGCGAAGATACTTGGGTAAGAATTCATTAATTGATATTATATGATTGGTTTATATGTTCATGCAATCATTTCTTTGCTATGGAAGTTTTCATCCAGTTTCCAAAGTATTTCTGTCTTAAACATTTTTTTTGAGGGCTCCTTTTACTCCAGGATTGAAACAAGTTCAAGGAATCTTCTGGATAGTTTTTTCTTTAAAGCAGGAAAAGCCTTTGCTTTTAAAGCGAGCATCATCTAGAATAACTAGAAATCAAAAATAAATTTATAAAAGTTTGTTTATTTTTTTTATTTTCATGTGCATTCCCTTATGCCTTAGAAAAGTGACAATTGCAGAATTCAAAATCAATCTGAGAACATCTTAGTTAGAAAAATAAAGAAATATGCTAACTTGTTAAATTTGCTTAACGGATTAACTAACCCAGATAAAAAGTGCAAGTTAAGGTGTGCTGTACAGAGGTTGGTTGAAAGCACAGCTTTGCACTGCCCTTGTCCGGGTGCGGCTTTGGGCCCGGCTGTTGCTGCCCACATTGTGTTGAGGCAGTTATCAGACTACTGTAATTCATATTGGCTACAACAGCCCAAAGGGCTGAAAATTTAGACCAGGATTGGTGTGATATAGAAGGATCCTGACTGTGCCTTCCCTTCCTTCAACCATGCCCCCTTTTCTCTGCTACCATGCCACTGATTTGTCACCCATAAACTAGGGTGATTCTGTGTTGGCCAGTTAAACTGTCTTTACAACAAGATTATACTAGTGGTGTAGTGCAAAAAGACCATATTACACTGAATCACCTGAGCTGAAAGGAGGGAAATAATTCCTGTTAGATAATAACATCAACTACAGTCTTGTTGCTTAGATTTAGTGGCAGGAAGTCTGAAGATTCAAGTGCACTTCTCCAGTTTTACACAGTCAACTTAGTCTAGATTCCTGCCATGGTGCAAAGAGCTTTCATCTACATTTTTTCCTTATATTAAAAATAGCATTGTTATAGCAGAGCTAAATCAACAGCAGACTTGCACTAAGTTTGGGAAGTCTAGGAATCATTGTTCATAGATTGAGTTAAGTATCTAAGGGCTGGTCTACACTATGAGTTTAATTTGAATTTATCAGCATTAAATCAAATTAGCCCTGCACCTGTCCACAGAACGAAGCCATTTATTTCGAAATAAAGAGCTCTTAAAATCGATTTCTGTACTCCTCCCCGACTAGGGGAGTAGCGCCGAAATCGATATTGCCATTTCAAATTAGGGTTAGTGTGGCCGCAATTCGACAGTATTGACCTCCGGGAGCTATCCCACAGTGCACCATTGTGACCGCTCTGGACAGCAATCTGAACTTGGATGCACTGGCCAGGTAGACAGGAAAAGCCCTGCGAACTTTTGAATTTTATTTCCTGTTTGCCCAGCGTGGAGAGCACAGGTAACCATGTAGTCCGATAATCAAAAAAGAGCACCAGCATGGACCGTACAGGAAGTACTGGATCTGATCGCTATATGGGGAGAGGATTCAGTGCTAGCCGAACTACGTTCGACAAGACGAAATGCCAAAACTTTTGAAAAAATCTCCAAGGGCATGATGGAGAGAGGCCACAATAGGGACTCAGATCAGTGCTGCGTGAAAGTTAAGGAGCTCAGACAAGCCTATCAAAAAACAAAGGAGGCAAACGGTCGCTCCGGGTCAGAGCCACAGACATGCCGCTTCTACACTGAGCTGCATGTAATTCTAGTGCGGGCAGCCACCACTACCCCACCTCTGACCGTGGATTCCGAGGCGGGGGGTAATCTCAGCCACACCTGAGGATTCTGCGGATGGGGAAAAGGAGGAGGAGGAGGAGGACGACGAGCTTACGGAGAGCACACAGCACTCCGTTCTCCCCAACAGCCAGGATCTTTTTCTCAGCCTGGGTGAAGTACCCTCCCAAGCCTCCCAAGGCAGTATCCAAGACCATGACCCCCTGGAAGGGACCTCAGGTGAGTTTTCCTTTTAAAATATAAAACATGGTTTAAAAACAAGCGTTTTTTAATGATTAATTTGCCCTGAGGACTTGGGATGCATTCGTGGCCAGTACAGCTACTGGAAAAGTCTGTTAACGTGTCTGGGGATGGAGCGGAAATCCTCCAGGGACATCTCCATGAAGCTCTCCTGGAGGTACTCCAAAAGCCTTTCCACAAGGTTTCTGGGCAGTGCAGCCTTATTCCGTCCTCCATGGTAGGACACTTGACCACGCCATGCTAGTAGCAAGTAATCTGGTATCATTGCATGACAAAGCCTGGCAGCGTATGGTCCCGGTGTTTGCTGGCATTCAAGCAACATCCATTCTTTATATCGCCGTGTAATCCTCAGGAGAGTGATATCGCTCATGGTAACCTGGTTGAAATACGGGAATTTAATTAAGGGGACAGAGGTGGCCCTTCCTACTGGGCTGTTTGCCTGTGGCTGAAAAGAAATCCTTCCCTGTAGTAAGCCAAGCGCCGGGGAGGGGGGAGGGAGGGGGAGATTGGCGCTGAGCTTTTCACATGTGGCTAGCAGGGATCTTCCCTGATACCAGCCACGCGGTGGGGGGAGGGATAAAGCGATCATCCCAGAGAATTGGATTGGGGGGGGGGGGGGGGTGGTTGTTTTCTGCTGCTGCAGATTAACAGGAAAACCGCAGCACTCAACGGGCTTTGCTTGGTATGTGTGAAAGGAGGGCGCAGAAGCCGAAAGTCAATGGCTTACCATGGCCGCGTGCAAGCCGAATTCTGTTGCCCGGACCTGCGCCTGTGATCTCTAACAGCAAAGCCACAGGCACTCAATATTAAGATGCAAAATGTGACCTTGCACAGAAATCACGTGTGCTATGTAATGTGAATAGTGTTGTTCACCGTGAAAGAGTATAAGCATTGTTCTGTAAAATGCATCTTTTTAAATACTTCTCTCCTTTTTTTCCCTCCCTCCCTCCAGCAGCTGCAAATTTTTCAAGCCTCCCTCCTCCGTCCCGAAGGCTATCTCAGATAAGGCGTCGGAAAAAGAGGACGCGAGACGAGATATTCGCAGAAATCATGGAATCCACCCGCAATGAAAGAGCTCATCTGAATGAGTGGAAGGACATGGTATCAAAGTACAGGAAAGATACTAGTGAACGTGAGGACAGGAGGGACCAACGTGAGGACATGAGGGACCAACGTGAGGACAGAAGGGACCAAAGTGAGGAGAGGAGAGACGCTCGAGATGAGAGGTGGCGGCAGGGAGATGAGAAGAGGCAGAATGTAATGCTGGGGCTGCTGCGTGAGCAAACAGACATGCTCCGGCGTCTGGTGGAGCTTCAGGAACGGCAGCAGGATCGCAGAGTGCCGCTGCAGCCCCTGTATAACCACCCTCCCCCCTCACCATGTTCCATAGCCTCCTCACCCAGACGTGTAAGAACGCCTGGGGGAGACTCCGTGCACCCTCCCATTCCACCCCAGTGGACAGCCCAAGCAAAAGGCTGTCATTATTTTAACCTTTTTTTAGCGGCCTTTTCCTTCCCTCCTATCCTCCTCCCAAACCCGGGCTACCTTGTCAGTTCTCTCCCTCTTTTTATAATCAATTAATAAAGAATACATGATTTTTAAACGATAGTGTCTTTATTTCCTTTGAAAGCAAGCTGTGATCAAAGGGGGAGGGTGGGTTGCTTACAGAGAATGAGTCAATAAAGGGGGCGGGTTTTCATCAAGGAGAAACAAACAGAACTTTCACACGGTAGCCTGGCCAGTCATGAAACTGATTTTCAAAGCTTCTCTGATGCGCCGCGCTTCCTGGTGTGCTCTTCTAATCGCCCTGGTGTCTGGCTGTGCGTAATCAGCAGCCAGGCGATTTGCCTCAGCCTCCCACCCCGCCATAAAGGTCTCCCCCTTACTTTCACAGAGATTGTGGAGCACACAGCAAGCAGCAATAACAATGGGGATATTGGTTTGGCTGAGGTCTGAGCGAGTCAGTAACGTGCGCCAGCGACCTTTTAAACGTCCAAATGCACATTCTACCACCATTCTGCACTTGCTCAGCCTGTAGTTGAACAGCTCCTGACTACTGTCCAGGCTGCCTATGTATGGCTTCATGAGCCATGGCATTAAGGGGTAGGCTGGGTCCCCAAGGATAACTATAGGCATTTCAACATCCCCAATGGTTATTTTCTGGTCCGGGAAGTAAGTCCCTTGCTGCAGTCGTTTAAACAGAGTAGTGTTCCTGAAGACGCGAGCGTCATGAACCCTTCCTGGCCAGCCCACCTTGATGTTGGTGAAACGTCCCTTGTGATCCACCAGTGCTTGCAGCACCATTGAAAAGTACCCCTTGCAGTTTATGTACTGGGTACCCTGGTGCTCCGGTGCCAAGATAGGGATATGGGTTCCATCTATCGCCCCACCACAGTTAGGGAATCCCATTGCAGCAAAGCCATCCACTATGACCTGCACATTTCCCAGAGTCACTACCTTTCGTAGCAGCAGCTCAGTGATTGCTTTGGCTACTTGCATGACAGCAGCCCCCACAGTAGATTTGCCCACTCCAAATTGATTCCCGACTGACCGGTAGCTGTCTGGCGTTGCAAGCTTCCACAGGGCTATCGCCACTCGCTTCTCAACTGTAAGGGCTGCTCTCATCTTGGTATTCTGGCGCTTCAGGGCAGGGGAAAGCAAGTCACAAAGTTCCATGAAAGTGCCCTTACGCATGCGAAAGTTTCGCAGCCACTGGGAATCATCCCATACCTGCAACACTATGCGGTCCCACCAGTCTGTGCTTGTTTCCCGGGCCCAGAATCGGCGTTCCACGGATAGAACCTGCCCCATCAACAACATGATCTCCAAAGCGCCGGGGCCCGCAGTTTGAGAGAATTCTGTGTCTATGTCCATGTCCTCATCACTCTCGTCGCCGCCTCCTCCTTGCCTCGTTTTTCTGGTCCTGGTTCAGCATAAACTGCACGATAATGCGCGAGGTGTTTACAATGTTCATGACTGCTGTCTTGAGCTGAGCTGGCGCTATGCTTGCCGTGGTATGGCGTCTGCAGTGTTCACCCAGAAAAAAAGGCACGAAACGGTTGTCTGCCGTTGCTTTCATGGAGGGAGGGGTGAGGCTGTACCCAGAGCCACCTGCGACAATGTTTTTTGCACCATCAGGCACTGGGATCTCAACCCAGAATTCCAATGGGCGGGGGAGACTGCGGGAACTATGGGATATCTATGGGATAACTACCCACAGTGCAATGCTCCGGAAATCGATGCTAGCCCTGGTACATGGATGCACACCGCCGAATTAATGTGCTTAGTGTGGCCGCATACATTCGACTTTATACAATCTGTTTCCAAAATTCGAACTCTGTAAATTTGGATTAATCCCGTAGTGTAGACATACCCTAAGATACATTACACCATCCTTTAAAGTTCTCCAGATTAAAACCTGTATGAACAGTGATATATTCAAATTGGTGTATTTTAACATGACACTTACTAGAGTAGATCACAGGAAGCTCTTAGAAGAACTTATTATACCTACATTTTACAGATAATGTTAGATTGTCTTCTTTGTAGCTATTGTGACCAGACTTCAGTAGTTCAACATAATAGTATTTAAATATTTGAAAAATAAAAATACATCTGTAAGTGCCCATCCAGTGCTCAGTGTTTGTCTAATAAACTGTTGTTGACTAAAACAGAATATTTCATTTAAATAAATTAATATATACAGTATTTCAGCATTTTAATTTAGTCATAAATTTTTGTTTTTCCCCATTTAGAAATATCATAATGCGAGAACTTGCTCCACAATTTCAAATCCCATGGTCAATACCTTTGGAAGCTGAAGATATCCCTATTGTGCCAACCACATCTGGAACAATGTAAGAGAAAAGTATCTTTAGCTGAATTGTGCAAAGTCCTTACATAACCTTTCTGTGAATTTTCTCTTCTCCCAAGGTATATCAGCTTCAGCTAAGAACACTTGTTTTGCGTGATGAAAACAAGAAGTGAATTGCAATTGATGTTCCAGCAATCGAAGTTTTTTATCCTTAGTCAAGCTGAGTATAGAACAGCAGATTTTCAAGTGCAGTCTGTTCTAAAAATAGCTTGCTTTATTGCTAATCAATATTCTAGTGTCAATTTAACACACTTTTTTCATAAACATGCTCTTTTACTAAATAAACCTCAAAATGGATTTGTTTCAAAAACTATTTAAAATAGATATTCTGTAGTTAGCTAAGTTTTAAAACCAGTATTTATAGTAAATTACATTCTTACATCATTTTCAGATAACTTTATGTTCTTGCATATCCTACAATCATTTCAATACTTAGTCAAGTATGTTTTTGTCTACTAAATAATTGTCTGTCTGACTCACACATTTAATAATATAAAAACCATGAGTGGTGTATAGAACTGGGAAATGTAACTTGACTTTTTTAAAATTTCAGGATGGAGTTGAGATGTGTTATAGCTGTAATACGTCATGGGGACCGTACACCAAAACAAAAAATGAAAATGGAAGTTAAACATCAGAAGTAAGTCTGAATTTGGGTAAAGGCAAACCTTATTTACATGTGCAGTAGTGTGTAGGGTACATGAGCTACCTACTGCAGTGAGAGGCAGGTTGCATCCACATTCAGTGCAGTGTGTAGCTACACCTAGCAGTGAAAGGCTTCAATGGGGAAAGGCTCATTACTGGAGCCTTTCTTCCTGCTGCCTCCACCCTGCCAAAACCTTTCCCTATTTCTGGAGTCTTTCATTGCAGTGGTGAAAAGCTCCAGCAGTGGGACACACTGCACTGCTAGAAATAGTATTGTAGATGTGGGATGCACAGCATGGGCGAGTAGAGAGCCAAGTAGGATATATACCCTAGGGCTCAGGTATGTCGGGCATTCTACTAGCCTAAGCAGTGCCTCACCATTTGCACTGCTATTTATCCCTATACTAGCTGGGCATGCAGTGTTTGTTTGTTACGCACTGCCGTAAGTGTAGACATAAATTAAGTTTGGTATTTAAGGCAAAATTCTTGCCTTGGATACGCGGGTTCAATTCAGTGGGAATTGCACATGCATATGCGCAAACTACATTTAAATCTTAATACTTCTTCCTGCATAACATCTCTAAGGTGCATCCCTTCATCTCTATCTACATAGCTAATTCACTTGCCCAGGCCTCAATCATCTCACATCTCCAGCAACTGTAACCTCCTTCTCTCCAGCCTTGACAATGCAGTTTGTCTAATGCTGCTGCAAAGATCATTTTCCTGGCTCATTGCTTTGACTGCGTCTCCCCTTAATTTCTGCTCTTTTTCTGGCTCTCCCTTTTCCACTGCATCAATTGCAAACTACTAGTCTCTGCTTTTAAGGCCTTCATAAACTATTGCTTACCCAGTTGTTTCTCGATACCTTTTGTCTCTTGCCTTATACTTGAAGTGTAAGCATTTTGGGAGGCTAAGGGACCCTCTTTGTTATGCATTTGTACAGTACCTAACACAGTGGGACCTTAATCTATGATTAGGTGCTACAGTAGTAAAAATATCATTTGAGGGCTAGATTCTGTGCTCAGATTTTAAGTGAAAGATTTGCTGTAAGTCTGCAGAGCCATATGTTTAGTATTTTATAACTAATAATGTTGTGTTGGTTTTTTTGTTAAATTTTGAACAGATATGTCTGTTTACTCAGGATTCTTCATATCTTTTGTGTTGTACCTGTATTTTTTCAGTCTTAGGCCTGGTCTACACTAGGAGGTTATGTCGAATTTAGCAGCATTAAATCGAATTAACCCTGCACCCGTCCACACAACGAAGCTATTTAGTTCGACATAGAGGTCTCTTTAAATCAATTTCTGTACTCCCCCGACGAGGGGAGTAGCGCTAAATTCGACATGGCCATGTCGAATTAGGGTAGGTGTGGGTGGAATTCGACGCTAATAGCTCCGGGAGCTATCCCACAGTGCACCACTCTGTTGACGCTCTGGACAGCAGTCCGAGCTCGGATGCTCTGACCAGCCACACAGGAAAAGCCCCGGGAAAATTTGAATTCCTTTTCCTGTCTGGCCAGTTTGAATCTCATTTCCTGTTTGGACATGGTGGCGAGCTCAGCAGCACTGGCAACGATGCAGAGCTCTCCAGCAGAGGTGACCATGCAATCACAGAATAGAAAGAGGGCCCCAGCATGGACTGATCGGGAAGTCTTGGATCTGATCGCTGTGTGGGGCGATGAGTCCGTGCTTTCGGAGCTGCGATCGAAAAAACGGAATGCGAAGATCTACGAGAAGATCTCCAAAGCCATGACGGAGAGAGGATACAGCCGGGATGCAACGCAGTGCCGCGTGAAAATCAAGGACCTGTGACAAGGCTACCAGAAGACCAAAGCGGCAAACGGACGCTCCGGATCCCAGCCCCAGACATGCCGTTTCTACGAGGCACTGCATTCCATTCTAGGTGCGGCCGCCACCACTACCCCGCCACTGACCGTGGACTCTGACGATGGGGTATTGTCGACGGCCGCTTCCTGGGAGACGTTCGTGGACGGAGAAGATGAGGAAGGAGATGAGGAGGACGAGGCAGTCGACAGCGCATACAACGCTGATTTCCCCTACAGCCAGGATCTCTTCATCACCCTCACGGAGATCCCTTACCAACCCTCCCAAGGCGTTAACCCTGACCCTGAATCAGGGGAAGGATCAGTCGGTAAGTGTTTTAAACATGTAAACATTTATTTTGATCAGAACAGGAATGGAATATTAACAATGGGTTTTTCATGATTACTTTGCCCTAGGCGCTCTACTTTTTAGTCCTTGTCAGTGCAGCTACTGGAAAATTGTGTCAATATGTCCGGGGATAGAGCAGAAATCCTCCTGGGACATCTCCACGAAGCTCTCCTGGAGGTAATTTGAAAGCCTTTGCATTAGGTTCCTGGGGAGAGCGGCCTTATTGCGTCCTCCATGGTAGGAAACTTTTCCGCGCCAGGCTAGCAGCAAGTACTCCGGGATCAATGCCTCGCACAGCATGGCCGCATACGGCCCTGGTTTTCGCTGGCATTCACGCAGCATGCGGTCTTTCTCTGTGTCCGAGATCCTCATCAGAGTGATATCACTCATGGTGACCTGCTTTAAATTAGGAGAATGTTAGTATTGGGACTGATTGTCTGTTCCTTTACATAAGTGTGACCAGCGGTTTACAGCCACGTGGTGGAGGCAGGACAGGGGCAGCATACCGGGATCTTTCCCGGGGACAGCCGCGAGCGGGGTGGGACGGGGCAGAGTTCATGCTGGCCGGATTGCCGGCAGCAGGAACTGGCCAATGCTAGGGGCATTGCTTTGAACATGAAAGGAGGGCACTGCTATAAATTAAGCTTTCAGCAGCCAAAAGTCTACGGCTTACCATGTCCGCCTGCTACCCGAATTCCGCTGTCCTGCCCCGCTTGTGTGATCTGTACTCCAAGACCCCAAGCACTGAATGGGAAGGCCGAAAATTCGACCTTGTCCTGAGTGCGCATGTGATAGGTGCTGTGCATGGTCTTGTTCACAGAGAAAGACTATGTTCATTGTTCACAAGAATGTATCTTTGTGAGGAATTCACTCCCTTTTTCCCATCCCACAGCTGCGAGTGTCTCCCGACCTACCCCAGCATCCCCCTCCCAGAGACTGGCGCAGATTAGGCACCGAAAGAGAAGGACATGGGACGAGATGTTCTCCGAACTTATGGGCTGCTCCTGAGCCGAGGCGGCACAGCAGACCCAGTGGAGGGAGAACATGTCGCAATACCAGCGATCACACAGCGAACGGGAGGACAGGTGGCGGCAGGAAGACCAGCAGGCGACTCAAACGCTGCTTGGACTAATGAGGGAGCAAACGGACATGCTCCGGCGCCTTGTAGATGTTCTGCAGGACCGGAGGCAGGAGGACAGAGCTCCGCTGCAGTCTATCTCTAACCGCCCTCCCCTGCCACAAAGTCCCATCCCCCCCTCACCCAAAGTCCCAAGAAGGAGGGGCGGCAGGGGCCGTGAAAACAGTCACTCCACCCCTGCAGGCTGCTCAAGTACCAGACGGCTCTCACTCCCAAAGTTTTGATAAGTCCTTTCCTTCACTCCAAAAGCACCTCACCCAACCCCCCGTCCCAGTGTCATCCCCTAACTGTGTAGTTGTTAATAAAAAATACGTTTCTATTAATTACTGTTTCCGTCATGTTCTTTTAGAGGAGAGTGTGTCTGAAGGGGGGAAAGGAGGTTGGTAATTGGAGAGGACAGTCACCTTTACCAGGGTACAGACACGGGGGCAGCTTCAGCAGCAGGTCACACTCACATTGCAGTCACTAGGCACCCTGGTCAGTCTGGGAGGTGGTTTTCGTGTGGGGGGGCTATGTGAGTTTGTGGCGGGGGAGGGCGGTTACAGATCTTATGCACCGGTCCTTAGCCTGGATGACAGAGCCACGCAGCAGGGGATCTGTAACCGTCCTCCCCCGCCACAAAGTCACATAGCCCCCACACACAGAGTCCCAAAAAGGAGGGGTGGCAGGCTCCGTTGAAACAACCAGTCCACCACTGAGGACCGCTCTAGGAGCTGGAGCCTGTCATTCCTCGAGTTTAGAAGCGTCCTTTCCATCACTACACCCGCTCCCCACCACAGTCTGCGTCCCAGTTTCAACCCTTTACCACGAAACCATTAATAAAGAAAACGGTGTTAATGAACAAAGTTCCGTTTATTTTATATTTAAAGGTGTGTTGGAAGGGGGGCAACGGGGTGAAGGGGGTATGTAACTGGAGAGGATAGTCAACATTAAGTGGGTAAAGAAACGGGGGCAGGTTCAGCTTCTCTTTAAACAAACTTAATAGTCACAGGTTACCCTGCTCACTGTGGAACCTAGCTTTCAAAGCCTCCCAGATGCACAGCGCGTCCCCCTGGGCTCTTCTAGTCGCCCGGCTGTCTGGCTGGGTGTAATCAGCAGCCAGGCGATGTGCCGCAACCTCCCACCCCGCCATAAATGTCTCCCCCTTGCTCTCACAGAGATTGTGGAGCACACAGCAAGCTGCAATAACAATGGGGATATTGGTTTCGCTGAGATCAGAGCGAGTCAGTAAGCTTCTCCATCTCCCCTTGAGACATCCAAAAGCACACTCCACCACCATTCTGCACTTGCTCAGCCGGTAGTTGAAGAGTTCTTTTTCACTGTCCAGGGCGCCTGTATAGGGCTTCATGAGCCAGGGCATTAGCGGGTAGGCTGGGTCCCCGAGGATCACTGTAGGCATGTCCACATCCCCAACAGTTATTTTGTGGTCCGGGAAGTAAATACCTTCCTGCAGCCATCTAAACAGACCAGAGTTCCTGAAAACCCGAGCGTCATGAACCTTGCCCGGCCATCCGACGTTGATGTTGGTAAAATGTCCCCTATGGTCCACCAGTGCTTGCAGCACCATTGAAAAGTAGCCCTTTCTGTTAATGCACTGGCTGGCCTGGTGCTCCGGTCCCAGGATAGGGATGAGAGTTCCATCTATAGCCCCACCGCAGTTTGGGAATCCCATCGCTGCGAAGCCATCTATGATGACCTGCACGTTTCCCAGGGTCACTAACTTTGAGAGCAGTAGCTCAACGATTACGTTGGCTACTAGCATCACAGCAACCCCCACAGTAGATTTGCCCACGCCAAAGTGGTTCGCGACTGACCGGTAGCTGTCTGGCGTTGCAAGCTTCCAGAGGGCTATGGCTACTCGCTTCTGGACAGTCAGGGCTGCTCGCATCCAGGTGTCCTTGCGCTTCAGGGCAGGGGACAGCAACTCACAAAGTTCAAGGAAAGTTCCCTTACGCATGCGAAAATTTCGCAGCCACTGTGATTCATCCCAGACCTGGAGCACTATGCGGTCCCAGCAGTCCGTGCTTGTTTCCCGGGCCCAGAATCGCCGTTCCACAGCATCAACATGACCCATTGCCACCATGATGTCCACGGCGTGGGGTCCCGTGCTTTGCGAGAGGTCTGTGCCACTCTCAGACTTAATGTCCTCACCGCGCTGCCGTAGCCTCCTCGCCCGATTTCTCAGCATCTGCCTCTGAAAAAGGTGGATGATAAGGTGCGAAGTGTTGACAACGGCCATAACTGCAGCGATGGTTGCAGCGGGCTCCATGCTCGCAGTGCTGTGGCGTCCGCGCTGTCACTCACCAGAAAAGTGCGTGAACTGATTGCCCGCCGGCGCTTTCAGGGAGGGAGGGCGGGAGTGACGGTTGAATGACGACAGTTACCCAAAACCACCCTCGACACATTTTTTTCCCCAGCAGGCATTGGTGGCTCGACCCAGAATTCCAATGGGCAGCAGGGACTGCGGGAACTGTGGGATAGCTGCCCACAGTGCACCGCTTCCATTGTCGACGCTTGCCCCGTTAGTGTGGACTCACAAAGTCGAATTACTGTTCTTAGTGTGGATACACACGTTCGACTTTGTAATATCGGTTCCACTAATTCGATTTAAGTAAAATCGAACTACTCTCATAGTGTAGACATACCCTTAGTAAGCTAACAGAAAAAGCTCTCTTATTTTGCAGTTGTGTTTAAGGCATGTGCTAGTGAGATGAGACCTCATTGAACAGAGAGGTTCATATCAGAACAAACTTTCTCATTATTCTGCGGTGTTCAAATTGGGGATTGATGAGGGAGGTTAGTTCCAGCTCTTCATTTTGCTTTAATTGAAAATCTTCCTGTTGCCTTAAAGTGTATTAGAAATCCTATTTATTAGATATCCTTTTAATCTGTATGTTTTCTCCTAAAGATTTTTTGATCTCTTCGAAAAATGTGATGGATATAAGTCAGGAAAACTAAAACTGAAGAAACCAAAACAGTTACAGGCAAGTCTATCTTGATTTTCTTTTTCTTGGTAATAATTGATGAATAATAGAATTCCTTGTTATATATAGTGGTTTTGTTTTTGTTTTTTTAGGAGGTGCTTGATATAGCAAGACAGCTCTTACTAGAACTTGGGCAAAACAATGACTCTGAAATTGAAGAAAGCAAAGCAAAACTTGAGCAGCTGAAGACTGTTTTGGAGATGTAAGGATCTAATTTTTAATCCTCACATCGGAACTGGCATAACTGTTATTTTGATCTCATTAGCTTTCAAAACTAATTCCCTTATGTTAATTTATCAACTGACAATATAATGTATAACAATACTAATCTGAATTTTTGAATATATTAAGAGGAAGGATGGTTTTGTGATTAAGACATTGCACTGGTAGTGAGGAGGTCTGGTTTTACTTCTTGTGTGACCTTGTACAAATCACTTAATCTAACCTGTTCCTCATCTGTATGATGGGGAAAATACTTCCTTTGCCTTATCCTGTTATCCATGTTGTCTATATAAATTACCGTATATACTTGATCATAAGCCGGTTCGTTTATAAGCCGACCCCCCCCCCCCAAGATGGATAAGTAAAAATGGAAATTTTTTATAACCCGTTCATAAGCCGACCCTATAATTCAGGGGTCAGTGAACTTTGGCTCCCGGGCCATCAGGATAAGCCGCTGGTGGTCCGAGATGGTTTGTTTACCTCGAGCGTCCGCAGGCATGGAGTTAAACCTAAGTAAACAAAGTGTCCCGGCACGCCAGCTGCTTACCCAGATGGGCCGGGACAGCAACTGGTGGGGAAATTTTTTGGGGGGGAGAGGCTGGGAGTCAGGGGAGTAACCCCTGTGACCACCCCCCACATGACCCCACCCCTAGCCTGGGACCCCCACACTCTCCCCATCCCATCCCTTCCCACCTTATCTGGGGAGGGCCAGTGGAGGATGTCTCTGACCTGGCTGGAGCTGCTCCGGCAGGCTGGGTAGCACGGCCGCAGCCTGCTCTGGCGAGCCAGACCAGGCGGCGCAGCCGCAGCATGTTCCAGCGGGCTGGGCCGGGTGGCGTGGCCGCAGCGTGCTCCGGCGCCCGGGCGGCGCGGCCACAGCCTGCTCTGGGGGGCGGGGCCGAGTGGCACGGCTGCAGCCTGCCAGCCCCAGAGCTGCAGCTGCTTTGGAGGCTGGGGGGGAGAGCAATGTGGACAGAAGTGGAGAGACTCTGGCCCCGCCTCTTCCCTTCTGTCTCTGCTGGCTGTGCTGCGTCTCCTTGCTCCCTCTGTTGGGGGGAGGGGCTGTGTCCCACATCTCCCTCTCTATACCCGTTCATAAGCCGACCCTCCCCTCCCCGCCCCCCGTCTCTGGAGCTTCCCTTTTTTACTAAAAAAATTCGGCTTATGAACGAGTATATACAATATAATCTTTTGGGGGCAGTGTCTGACTCTTGTTATGTGTTTGTACAGTGTCTTACACAATAGAGTCCTAACCTCAGTTAGGCACTACTGTAATACAAATGGTAATTTGTGGTGTGTATACTCCCTGTATTACAGAGAGTTCAAAAAAAGAGTTGTTGCAATTGAATGAAAGATCTTGTTCTCAGTAACCCACACATAGTACGAAAACTCATTTTAAACTTTAAATAATTTTTAGTATCTCATTATGTATTTAAGGTATGGCAGTGTCTAACTACCGGTTAGTGCTGAAATTGATATTAAATATTAACTAGATAGTAATACTTGTTTCTAGACAGTTAACTTGCCCTATAATCTATTGTGATAAAAGCTTGTTACACTTGGAAGTGTTATGAATCCTATTTTGGGGCTTCATTGGATAACAAATAGTGGCTATCAGTATGTGACAGATCAGATCTGGATACTGATAGCCATAAGGAAGTATGGTGCCAAAGTGGAATAAATTAATCATGCAGCTGGAGAGTGTGGATGGATGGGAGTGTTTATTTCTGGTGAGAGAGACATGAAGTTTCTTGGGCAATGTGTTGAAAAGAAGCAATGGACAGTACTTAATATAGTAACTGCTACATGGTGATGACCATTTAAGTATTCATTCAATATTTTATTTAATTTGACAAATCAGCAAAAATGGGCAGGTTAGTAAGATTCAAAGAATTATGATGTCCCTAATTGATAGAGGGATATGATAGTATTGAATATATATATTGGAAAATCTGTCAGTTTATTTTTCCCGTCACTTTAGGTATGGGCATTTTTCTGGCATAAATCGCAAAGTCCAGTTAACCTATCTCCCTCATGGCTGTCAGAAAACTTCTAGTGAAGAAGAAGGTATAGTATAACCAATACATACTCTCTTACATAGTATGTAGAACTTAACATAACTAGGGGGTTAATTGTTTAATGTGGTGTTAAATAAAACAAGGACTTGTATTCTAGCCAAGTATTCAGCAACATTTTGTTTTGTGATGATATACTGTGATTAGCAATTTCTAAGCTGCTGAGTTTCTATTAGTAAGGTTAAGATATACTTTGCATTTTAATATTGTTTCCTAGGTAACAAAAATATGGAGGGAATAAATTTTATAAACTGTTCACCAAAGATGATGTCCTCTAGAAAAAATTAGGTTTTCCGTACATCTCCTAGTACTCTTATTCCTTTCATACAAAAAAGGCTAAAACATACAATAATGCCTAGGTATTTAAAATCCAATACCTGTGAATTTCCTGACTGCTGATTAGTTTTGTGCTTACTTTCGCTTACTTTGTTTTCACTGTAATACGAGTTTCAGTTGTTTTAAAAGTACCTAAACTATGGGTATCTTCAGAGTTAAGTATTAGCTTTCACTGAACTAGACGGGTATTTCTCTATTAGAATAACAAGAGACTCAAACGCTGAAGTCACTTTCCTGAAGCACACAAACCTCAATGTATCACTTCCAGTATTACTTTAATATTAATTTAATGATAATTCTTTAATAGTCATTAAATAAACATTTGCAATTGTTGGTACACTATTTTAAGTGATCTGTCTGCATATAATTAGATAACAGAAGAGATGAACCATCCCTACTTCTGGTTCTGAAATGGGGAGGAGAACTGACCCCTGCAGGCAGGGTCCAGGCAGAGGAGCTAGGGAGAGCTTTCAGATGCATGTACCCAGGTGGACAAGGTAATCTTCTTGTGCTATATTGTATAAATTAGTCTTTTAAATATACATAAAAATAAAATACATGCACACATATACAAAGAGTCTCTGAAGAAGAATATCTGTTTGTTTGGTAGGAGATTATGCTGGATTTCCTGGATGTGGTTTGCTTAGATTACATAGTACTTATCGACATGATCTGAAAATCTATGCTTCTGACGAGGGACGAGTTCAGATGACTGCAGCAGCTTTTGCAAAGGTACTGTGTGAAATTGTATTTTCAACAAAGAAACCTGAAACTCTCAACAAGAATCTTGTCTGTGTTCTCTAGCAAGTTAGGGGAAATGCAGAGTTTTATTGCAGCCTATGTAAAAAAATTTCAACTTTTCTTTTTATTCAAGTGCATTTAGTGCTCATGAAAGGAGATCCAAATTGACATCTCTTGCATTTGAAGCCTTCCAACCATCAGAAGACATACAGCATGGGAAGCTGCAGTACGAGTTTTTATTTATGTAGCCGCAGCAGTGTGCATCAATCCTTTCCAACAGACCACTTTTGAGGGTGAAAAGGATATTTTAGTCTCCATGCCCATTTAATTATTTATCTAAAAGTTCCAACAAACTATGACAAATTGTGGGCATGATGGGTGAAATAGACATCTTTTAGGAACTGAACTGAGGTCTCAAGTTCACTTTACATAGGTGACATGGAGCTGACAGCAAATTACACATAGAGGACTGGATTGCTTTTGTGCTTTGATACCACCAGAGATGTAAAATCAATATAACATAATTTCATTTTCTTTTTAATATAAGATATCACAAGATGGTATAAACATTTTTACTACAGTAATATCCTTTTGTAAGATTGTTAGAGCAGAAACATCTTAACATTTAGTTGATCTCAAAATAATTACTAACTGATGAGATGGTGGCGAACTGACAAAATAAGTGCTCTGAATCATTATGCTGTTCAATTATGCATATAGTAATTTTGTTGTGCTGTAAAAATTCTAGGGTGATGTAAAATTTTAAAAAAACTGTTCCATAGCCCTGAACAATGTGAACTTTTAGACACAATCTGTGAAAAATGCAATCTTCAGAACTTCCATGTAGAATTATAAACTTTTTTGACCAAACTTTCACAATACTTTACCTGTCTTCATATCAGACAAACTTCCCAGCCCTCTGATCACAGCCCAGAAGCTCTGTACCTGCTTAAGTTTTCCACTCATTCCCCTTGTAGCAGAAGTTCGATTGCTTATTCCCATCTCCAAGAAGAGGGATATATCAGGTATCCTAAACTTATGTGAGAGCGCACATACAGTAAGCTGTTACATAAAGATTTCATTGAGTGAGTGAATTTTGGTAATCACAACATTTGAGACACTGGCAAGTTATTTGAACAATATAATGTAGAGTTTACATTAACATCTTGGTTTAGAAATAGATGCATTACTACATTTTTATCTTTGTTCATTTCTGAATAACCGTATTGTTATTTCCAGGGATTACTGGCTTTAGAGGGAGAGCTCACTCCTATTCTTGTCCAGATGGTGAAAAGTGCTAATATGAATGGTCTGTTGGACAGTGACAGTGACTCTTTAAGCAGCTGCCAGCATCGTGTTAAAGCAAGGCTCCATGAAATACTCCAGAGGGATAGAGAATTTATGCCTGAAGACTATGAAAAGGTTAGAAGATATTAGAGAAATTATTTCCAACATAAGTTTATTAAAGTTTACCACGACTCAGTTTTCACACAAGCATTCCTTTATTAGTCCAAAGTCCACTTGCTGTTGGTTATATCCAAAATACCAATACAAGCATATACACATTTTATATCCTAGCAACCATACAGTTACACGCATTGGCCAAATATTCACAACAGGATCTTGCTTGGGAGATACTTTCCCATCATGGCATGACTCCAGAAGGGTTAGGAAAAGCTCTGACAAAGAAATTCCTAAAATCCTTGCCTTTTTATACACTATAATAAACAAGTGATGTTATTGCTGGTTATAAGACCTTAGCTAAAGCCAGAGAAGGCCATTTTAGGTCTGTACCCTACGCTTTTGCATGGTGAAGACAAACTTAATGGTTGGACTCCCTTTTCCTAGTTATCTTCTTTCCTTCTTTTGCCATATTTCTTCCCAACTTCAGGACTAAGTATTTCTTTGTAAACAAACCATATATAACCAATTATTTATTGCACCTGGTGCCCAGTTAATCAGACTAAAGAAAACATGGTTACCTCAACCCAAATCTGAAATAAAATAACACTGTGGTTTCAACGGTCACTACAAAATGTTCTTCTGACCCCAAGGGACCAGCTACATTGCCAGATCAATATTAGTTTGGCTCTTACCCAAAAATATTATGCTGCCAGTAGGGTTGCCAACCCTCCAGGATTGGCCTGGAGTCTCCCAGAATTGGCATCGGTCTCCCGGTGACTATTGAAAGCAATCTGGGAGATTTTAATAGGATATTTTAAGAAAATGATATTGCCATGTTGGGGGGAAAAATCTCCTGGAATAGCTTCAGACAGAGTTGGCAACCCTAGCTGCCAGCCAGTCCTTTAGTATCTAAAACTAAAGGTTTATTATAAAAGAAGAAAAGAACAAGAAGAGGGTTGTTGAATGGTCAAGCAATCAAATACATATATAAGACTTCAGAGTCCATATATTAGGCTTGTAGCAATATTGGTGAGTTTGCTGGCTTGAAAGTCCCTCTGGAACACATCCAAAGCTTGGATGGTTCATTCAGTCCTTTGTTCAAAGCTTCAGTTTGTAGAGAAGTTGCTGCAGAGGTAAGAAGTAGGATTGAAGACAAAATGGAGATGATGCCTCTGCCTTTTTATATCCTTCGCTTGTGGCCTGTACTTCCTTTGTCCCAAACACAAGCTTTACAGCACATGCCATGGAAAAATCTTAGAGTTCTCTGTCCACAGGCATGCCCCTACATGTCTTGCTGACTTTCATAAGGTGTAGCTGTTGCCTTTCAAAGGGTTAATTGTATAGCTGATTGCCTTGGATAGGCCAACAAGCAGGCTGGTTAGTGCTGATGCCAGTCTGTCTGGGGGTATCACCCAGAAGCACAGCACAAGTTTGAAATACAGATATATCAACACATATTTGTAATTCATGATACAAAGATGATACAAACATATAAACAAGATTATCGTACTTGTGAAAACATAACATTTTCACTGATAACTTACACAACATATCTGGTAAGATTCCTTGCAATTTTATAATATTGGTAATAATATTAAGTGCCTCACATAATCCATACAGTGTCACATTAGCATTGAGTTCAACAGTTCTATTTGAAAATTGAGTAATTAGATGGCATTTGAGTGTTTTGATGTAATGTTAATTCAGTCTAGTTTGAAGAGCAGCAGCAACTACTGAACTTTGCTGTTTTAGATAAGAATCATGGTATACGACTGACTGTTCTTTTTTGGATTTTAAGTTGATGGTGTCTGTTTTAATTTTAGCTATTTTCGGAACACCACATGTCTTGTCCCTCCAATTTTTTTTTCTCCAAAGACCTGCCCTTGCTGAATTACTATGTCATAAAGAGGGGGCACAGAGTGCCTAATGTCAACAGAGTAGGTAGAGGTAGATGTTTTCTGTAACAGCAATAGCGCTCTCATAGGTTATGGGGAGGAAAGGGTAAGCTGGAAGCACATATAGGTTCATTAACCCAAGAATCGAGCATTCTGGTAAGGAAACTTTTTTGCTCACTGTGTTATCACGTGCACATGCTTGAGTAGTACTGCCAATGACCTCAGTGGGATTTTTCTCCTCCATCCTTAAAATTTCTCATGGAGTCCAGGGATTATTTTATCTCGAGCATGAGTGCTAAACATTCTTGGTGGGGCACCACAGAGGCATCACTTTGTCCTTTCTTTCATGGTGACAAATAGAGTGACAGAGGGCCAGAAAGAGAGGGTATTCAGATAGCATAAAGAGAGAAGAATAGTGAACTGCCAGGTGAGGAGGAGATTGAGCCTGACCCATTCTGAATGGGAGATTCAGGGCAAACACCATCATATTATATATCCTTATATCCAACCCTCCACCGGGTAGTTCAGTACTGAGTAGGTGTTCCACTGAGTACTTTTCTGTCCTGCAGCCATCTGTTCCTACCTTTTTTGGGGAGGGGTTACTTATCCCTCTGACCTCCAGGCTGTCTCAGATTCTTTGAGAGCACAGGTACTCCTGCCTTGCCACCACATGCCCATGTTCTCTTGTTAATTGGAGGAGACTGTTTCACCTCCTGGCTTCCCACATTTGCTCCAAAAGTTTGGAGGGTGAGAGCAGAGGGGATCCGCTTCCCCTACCTTCTTATCCTCATTGCAATTAGATTACTGCTGTTTGTAGTACCTAACAGGCTATTGTAAGGCAGTATGTGCTTCCCCCAGATGCTGTTGCTACTTCTAGGCCTGCTCTCTGCTTATGTGGGGGAAAGATCTGAACAGGGAGCCGGATTTCTGTCTGAAAAAAGGGAAAAGGTTCTGCAGGTCTCCTAAAATGTGAAATTACATGTTTAAATATTATGATTGACCACTCTCTTACCCTGCACTTCACCTTTCTAAAAAGTGAAGGTAAATCAACAGCCATTCAGCCACTCTCCAGTGTCTTATATAGCATTACTGGCTTACTTAATGGTGATCATGCTTGGCTCCTGAAGTTAAACGATTGGTTCAGTTCTGGAGGATTGACTGTTGGTTCCTGCTAGTAACTTTTTTATGTTCTATCCTGAAAGAAATAAAATGTCTGTGCAGGAGCAGCCATGTATTGATTTTTTTTAAAAATCACAGTTATTGTTAGAATCCAAATGTACCTGCTCCCTCCAATTAAGTTTTGTTCTGTAAAGTTTCCTTTTATGATGTATTAGGAGCATTTAGCCACAGTGTACCATTCTGATTTCTCTTGACAAAGCTTTTTAAAAAATCTTTGTTATTAAAAACAAAATACAATAAATTATTAAATGTGCACAAAGTTGTGAACTTCCTCACTTTTCAGAATAAAATAATTAACATAAGTGGGGAAGTTTAATTCTATTCCTGACATCGCTGTGGTATTCCATACAGAATAGTTTACCCTCTAAGTATCTCATACAGCCTTAGCTTTTGACACTTGGATTAAGCTTTCTGCTCTTGATTTATATCAAAGTGTGTTAATTCTGACTTTAAGGAAGTTGTGGACTTTGTACTTCTATGCATATGTTGAGTCTGGAAATCTGAGAGTTGAGAGATGTGGGGGGGTTGGTTTTGTTAATGCATCCCATTAGGATTTCCTAGATACACCTCTACCCCAATGTAACATGAATTCAGATATAACGCCATAAAGTGGCGCTCCGGGGGGGCGGGGCTGCTCACTCCGGCGGATCAAAGCAAGTTCAATGTAACGCTGTTTCACCTATAACGCAGTAAGATTTTTTGGCTCCCGAGGACAGCGTTATATCGGGGTACAGGTGTATTTAGATATAACCAATATTTCTGTTTTATCTCATACTGCAGCTTACTCCATCTGGAAGCATCTCTCTGATGAAATCAATGAAGGTGATCAGAAATCCTGTGAGAACATGTGACAAGGTTTATTCCTTGATCCAGAGTTTGACTTCTCAAATCAGGCAGCGAATGGAAGATCCCAAGTCCGCGGGTAACTGAAATATTTTAAAATGTGTGTTTAATTTGACTTCTGTCCATTTGAGACCACTAACTTTAATGGATATGCAGAAGGCAGGCACCCTTTCCTCGTTAGCTTCACTGTCTCACAGATTTTTGGTAATGATACATTCATACTGCTGAGCTTCAGTTCATCTGCAAATTTGACACCATCAGCTCAGGATTAAACAAAGACTGTGAATGGCTAGCCAACTACAAAAGCAGTTTCTCCTCCCTTGGTATTCACACCTCAACTGCTAGAAGAGGGCCTCATCCTCCCTGATTGAACTAAGATCGTTATCTCTAGCCTGACTCACTCTTGCTTGCATATTTATACCTGCCTCTGGAAATTTCCACTACATGCAGCCGAAGAAGTGGATATTCACCCACGAAAGCTCATGCTCCAATACGTCTGTTAGTCTATAAGGTGCCACAGGACTCTTTGCTGCTTTTACAGATCCAGACTAACACGGCTACCCCTTTGATACTCAAATATCCTGCAAAACCATAAGTTTACAAAGAGGGTAGGCTGCTCTAAATGTAATTTAAGTGAAGATTTCCTTTGAATGTTAGTATCTTCATTAAAGCTTTTGTTTGCTCTACACTAAAAAAGGGCCATGATGAATAGAAATGTTGTTCTATAAATTGTGTAGTATTAAAACAACTTCGTTTTTTTAAATTGCATTTTATCTCTGTAGGACTTGTACTGATAGCTAGAATTGATGTTCTACCATTATTGATCCTTTTCCCCATCCAAACCTCTTGTCTGCAATTTGGGGCATCTGCCCCGGCTCCTGTCAGTCTCCTGGATCCCCATATTCCTGTCTTCTGCACTTGGGATGTGTAAAGGAGTGGATGGGAAATAGGTGGCACATCCCCAGAAAAAAATATTTTAATCTAAAATTTTAAAGAAGTCCCTGAGTACTTCTTAAAACCACACTGTATATGATTTATCATGCTACAATTCTGCCTGAAGACCTAGCGATGTACTTGGAAAAGGGAGCTGGGGCTAGAGCAGACATGCTGCTGTCTTAGTTACCATGTAATAGTTCCATGCTAGTAGCAATGAAAACTGAGAGTTCAAAACTACCCAACTACATAACTATTCCCCCTTTTTTGAGCCCTTCAGATAATGATTTCAAGTATCTTTGTAGTACACCTCTACCCCGATACAACGCTGTCCTCGGGAGCCAAAAAATCTTACCGTGTTATATCGAACTTGCCTTGATCCGCCGGAGCATGCAGTGTCCCGTCTTGTCTCCCGTCCCCCCCGGAGTGCTGCTTTACTGTGTTGTATCCGAATTCGTGTTATATCGGGTCGCATTATATTGGGGTAGAGGTGTAGTAGTCACAGCCCTCTGACCACTTTGCCTCAATGCATTTGTTATCTGGAGTGAGCTAACGTTGTTTTACCCTTAAAACACATTTTAAGACTATAATTTCAATAATACATTTAAATCAGTTTAACTTTTCTGTTGGCTGATCAATCCTAAATAGTGAAATAAGAGTAAAATATTTTTCTGTCTAGATATTCAACTTTACCATAGTGAAACACTAGAGTTAATGCTGCGCAGGTGGGCCAAGCTGGAAAAGGACTTTAAAACAAAGAATGGAAGATATGACATCAGCAAAATCCCTGATATTTACGACTGTATAAAATATGATGTCCAACATAATGGATCCTTAAAATTAGAAAACACAATGGAATTATACAGGCTATCAAAGGCATTAGCTGACATTGTGATCCCTCAGGTAAGCACTTTACAACATTAATATGGCACCTTTAAAATAAAAATCTGTAAAAAAATGCTTGCTGTCTCCTGTTTTTGGAAGGCTTCTGTATTTTGCAGTGACTAAAGGCTCCAAGATGACCTTCTGTTTACTGAAGAGATTGAATGTCAATGATAGAGTAAAGATTAACTGGCCTCACAATAAATTAGTAGTTCATAGTCCATCAAATCTATTAAATGTAGAGTGAATTTTCCAGTAGCTTGCATAAATGTGACTAGGTCTTAGTTCCCATTAGCCCAATGTGCTAAAACTAAGTGCTCCATAATGACTATTCTTTGCAGATTAAGGAGGGCAGTATAATTGGAGTAATCAAAGATGTCCCTATCTGAAGTTGGATTTTTTGTCAGCCCTTTTGCTTCCTTCTCAGGCTGATTGTAAGGGGCACAGTTAGTTTCAGTTAAGTGATAATAGGCAAACTGGTAAAGAATTTAAACCAAAATGGAGCTTTCTACTGCTAAAATGCATTTTGGTTTTGGTTTTAAATATTATGCTAGCAGTTAAATACAGATACCATCTTCCTTCTGTTATTTCTAACAAGACAGATGCTCATCAGGCAAAAAAATACAATTTGGTTAATATCTATAAAATTATATCTTAGTCATCCATATTGCTGAACAAAATAGTATCTACTAACGAATGGCATTCAACAGGGAACCAGGAAGGTAGGAAATAGTTATCTCACTATCCTATCAGTAAAGGAAACAAAACTTAAAAAAGCAGAGTTCCTGGCAAAAACACATAGAGCAAAATTATGGAAACGAATGCACATTAGTAGTGTCTTCGCCACATGGTTCTTGATCTGTCTGCTTCACATTTCCTTTTTTTTTTTTTAATCTACTGTCTGCAGTGCAATTTCAAAACCAAATAGTCATATACATTACATGGAATTTCACTGGATGTAGATGGACACGTAGATACCGTTGTCAGTCAAATCTAAACTGCGTTCAGTATTGTGCTGAGTAGACTAAGGGAAAAAAAACCCTAAATATAACCTTCAATGTTAATGTCTCTCATTGGCATATAATTAGAATTCTTTCTCTGTGAATCAGGCTAATTCATTCACTCTAGTAATGGATTTGCCTTCATTTTTTTTGCTTAATATATGTAGCATCATTTCTGATAAAATGTCTGCTCTGCAAGGTCTGATTTCCAATTCTGTCTACTAGTTCTTTGCCTAGATGAGAAAAAACTTTTTTTCATGAAGAGAACTAACTCTCTAATTGAAATACCACTGTATACCTTTAAAACTCTTGGCTGTTGGGAGTTGCCCATGGGGATCAGATCTCATATCGTGACATGGAACATTGAGAGCCTGAGAAGATACAAATAAACATATAACTGGAATACAAATATTGTACCTTATGCACATCTGTAACCTTCATAGCCTGTACTTATTGGCAATATTTTTGTACAAGTTTGTCAGCTCTTGAAAGAATGGGCTGAATTCTCATATTAAGGTGTTGGGTGCCATTGGACAAATTAAGATTGTTTTGAAAGTGGAGTGTGCTGTCCTGCACTACAGAAATGTTGAACTGTTGAAGGCTAGAAGTCCATGTGCAGTTTTTTTGTACAAATAGCTGGATATTGGATAAAGAAGTCATTTTGCTTATTCAGCAACCTGATTTGCTTGTGTTGGTTCTTTGTGTTAATGCTGAAAATGAATACTTGGGTTTACTAAGCCTATTTATAGTCTGTATAGGAATATTTGACACAGATAAGATGTTCTTAAATTCAGAATGTATTTACCAATAGAATTTTTGTCTGTTTTATGAAAAAAAAATTTTTTTTAATTGAATCACTCACTGAAATAGGATGGTGCATTGAGAGGAATGCAAGTGGATTGGTTTTATTTAACTGATTGTAACAACTGGAACTGAGGCAAATTCCCATTACTATTCAATATATTTTTACATCAAGAAAATTAAGTGGAAATTAAACTACATTTCAGGCTTTGCATTTAGTGGTCTTAAAGGTGATCTACAAATAGAAGAGAGGACTCCATTTACTTTTGTAGTATGCTGAGTACTCAACATGGCAAAGGTGGGCGGGAAGTCCTGCATAGTATGGACTTCAAATTGCTTGTCTTTTAGGTCACCCGAAGTCCAGAATCAGTCAGGCTGGGTATAATACAATTACACTCAGTATGCTGGTCATGTTACTGATTACAGAATATCACTGTTGGGGTAGGAAGGGAAGTAGAGTACCACTGGACCTGTCCTAATGTCAGTGTAGGGAGGGAGCGAAAGAAAGACAGGCTCATCAGGTAAATGCCATATTATAGGGATTTGCAAAGTTTTCTTTAAATAGGTTATTTGGAGCAATGGGAAAACAGTACATATAAAATAAGAATACTCCCTTAAAAAAAAAAGTTGACAAACCAACATAACATACAAAGAAAAAGGCCCTTACCTTGCTTTCCACAGTAACCAGAAGTTCTGTTATGGTGTTGGGGGACATCACCAGCAGTGTATGATTGTCAGTTTCATTGAGCAGGGGACTCGTGAAAGAGAATTTTAAAGTGAATATTCTAAGTGCCCAAAATGACCAACAAGAGTATCATTCTGATGTTAATGGAGATTTCTTACTGTTGTTTTCAGATTATATTTGACTGCCATACTTCCTTCAGAAGAAGGGCAGTACCTTTCTTGCAACTGTTGGAGGTCAAATGAAAAAATAAAATGCCTCCTCCTTTCAGTTAGGCCACAAAAGAGAACCTTCTTTCAAAAATCAGATTCATCCTGGTATGAAGGAGCTTGGTACTTTTCTGCTGCCACCAAAGGAAACATTCTTTCCATTCATAGTTCATACCTTTCCAGTGCAATTTCTTTGTCCATGTTCCAACACTTAAAATCCATGTTTTTCAGCCACAAGAAGTGGCAGATAGCTAGCTACTATTTTTCAGTTATGAGACTTGAATTCAAAATTCACTTCAGTGTTCTTTATAGTTTGGTTTCAAAAACTTAATTTCTTTCTGTCCAGGAATATGGTATTTCCAAGGTTGAGAAACTAGAGATTGCCAAAGGCTACTGCACTCCTCTAGTTAGGAAAATTCGTTCTGACCTTCAGAGGACTCAGGATGATGACACTGTAAATAAGCTTCACCCTCTGTAAGTTCAGAATTTTTTATTACATGTATGCTGCAAATTGTCTTCAGTACTTAAATGTTCACGCAACCGTGATAGATAACCACGTGCTTATAAGCTTAAGCTATCAGTAAAGCTATGCTTACTTCAAATGATTTATAGTAAGATTGTAGTAACAGTTTTCTAATATGGGTATATTTTAATGTCTTAAATAATTGACTATGTCTTTTTTCCACTATACTTTTGATTTTAGATACTCCAGAGGTGTTATGTCTCCTGAACGTCATGTTCGTACTCGGTTATATTTCACAAGTGAGAGTCATGTCCACTCCTTATTATCAACTCTTCGTTATGGTGCCTTATGTGATGTAAGTTGATCATTTTCCTGTTAGAGCAAAAGCCGTGGCTGGTATTTTCTGAAGAACTATGGGACCAAATCCCACTAACCTTAAATAGAAGTTGAGTGCCTAACTCCCTTAGGCTACCTTTAAAATCGCAACCTATTTTATTAAACATATTGATTTCTAATATGTTTAGTGTTATGCACCCAAGTCATATTGCCAGTCTTTGCCATATAGATTTTTTTGTTAGCAGAAAACAAGATGGAAAACATTTAGCGTTACCTTGGTTTTTTGATTGAAGTTAGTAAATATTAGTGTATTTGCTAACATTTGAGCTCTAAATTCCTCATGCTCAGAAAAGACTAGACCTCTTCCATACATATATTCAGATCAGGCAGTAATGCAAAATACCTTGTAAGAATTTTTTGCTTTCTTGTAAGTAGGTTGAAATTCTTCTTTGGGAAGCTGAGCAGTACTGTCCATCTTCAAAATTGTTTACAATTGGTCCTTAACACTAACTTGGTGGTGTCTAATATACAACACATGAATATATTTCACTTAGCTTAAACAGCCTTCACTTGGTAGCTGCCTACTCAGAAATCAAGCAGAACACTTTCCAAAGTTCTGTTCCTGGAACTTAAGAAGAACAATTTCTCCTCCCAGGTTATTGGTAAGATAGGCAGGAAAATTAATTTTTCACACTTAGTGTCAAATTCTCACATCTGCACCACAAATCATAAAACTAATGTACGCTTTTTTTTTTTAAGAGTAACATGGTGTTTGTCATATCTAGCAACAGCATCTTATTTATGCAGCATCATAGCAGCGTTTGGAATTTTACAAGCAGTTAAATATTTTTTCTTGCGGACACAAATCCTGAATAGCATAAAACCTAACTCAGAAGGATCTGGTACCAAGAGAATGATTGCTGAGTAAGAGTTGGATCCTGCACTAATATAAGTCTGGGTGATGGTAAGAATAGTGCTCATGTGGTGATAGAGGTAGAGAAAAGAGATTAGGAGGAAACACAAATTCTTCTTTGAGAAGATGCAGCCATATATTCTACATAGGTGTGTGCGCGCCCAGTGCACCGGAGCAGTATAATTTTGCCTAACAGTACCTGTAGATGGGCAGTGCTCGTGCCTCGTAGCTATAGCCCTGGCTATATGAGGTGGCGCCGCCCTGACCCCCCCTCAGTCCTTTCCTACCACCCAAGGCTGGAGTTGGAGCTCTGTGTGGCTCCTAACCTCATAACCTCTCTATTTTGTAGTGAATTTTTCTAGTTGTACATAGTTAACTAGTTCCCTTAGTATAGTGTTAATTAGCTTTAGTTTAAATATTTCACTGATGATGCCCTCACCATAGTTTAAACATTGTCATGTTGAGGAATGATCCCCATACACGATGCTTGCTGTGCTTAGGCAAAGCCCATGTCAAGGAGTGGTGTTCAATTTGCAAATTGTCGTGAAACAGACTGAGGTGGCGAGAGATCTTTGTCTAAAGCAGCACTTGCTTGAACAGGTCACGTGGCCTGCTTCAGCACCAAGGCCTGAATTGGATCGGATGTCACCCTTGGATTCTGAGCGTGCTGCTACTTCGCGTTCTGGAGCTGGCACCTCTCCGAAGAGACAGAGGAGTCACTCCTCCTCAACTGCGCTGAGAAAAAGATCGCATAAGACCATCAAGGTCGCTCCAAGTTGTGTGGGAACTCATCTGTCTCTTTCAGAAGGAGTGCAGACTGGTATGATGTGAATGCTGGTGCGTGGGATGGAGGAGGTCCCGTCAACCACTTTCTAGTACTGCACAAGGAAGTGACACACCCCATACTGTCGACCCCAGTTCGGACATGGGGTGTTTGTTGAGTCCGGTACCAATGAGGGCAATGCCAGCACTGGCTGTTTCTGCATCAGCAGCGTATCAGGCAACCACAGATCTCCTCTGCCTTTTTGTCCCAACCTTGCCCTTGGTCCAAGACTTCGCCATCGCTGTGTCATTTATAGCCTCGTTGGTTAGGCGAGCTGCTGAATCTGTGGGTCTGTCGGCACTGCACCCTGATGTTTCTCTTCCACAGTCAGTGGAAGCAGGGCCAATGCCAGGCTCAGCACAAGGGACCTCCTCAGCACTGGGAATGTCTTCAGCACCCCTGCCGTTGGTTCAGTTGATGTTACTGTGGCTGCACTCACCGCCCTCCACTTTGCCACCATCAGTCACATTGGCGCTGCTGCCAACTTCGGGGTTAACACCACTTCCAGCACCGGAAACAACAGAGGTGTACTCAGTGCCAGTGATAGCATTTCCACTGTTGGCGCCAGTTCCCTCTTCATTCTGGTGTATGGACAAGTCTGGCCAGTTGCTCACACTTTCAGGCTGGCTCTACCTTTCTCCACTGAAGCCTGGGATTCCTTGACTTCCAGGTCAGGATCATTCTCCTCCCATTTTCCATCGCCTGATCTGCACTGGGGGCCGTTCATGGAGCACTGTGGGTACCAAGATTGGTGCTCATCTTGTGGGCGGGACTATGGGTTCTTTACTTCAAGTGCGCCTGTGCCTTTGATCAGAGATTTTTGGTAGTGGTGCCCATTTATTCCTTTTGCCCTGCACCGAGACTACATGGGGCTGTGTGGGCAAACAGCCCTCAATTCCTTCTCAACCAACTGCCTTTGGCCTGAGACAGATTCTGCAACTTTTGCCTCTTCTCTGTTCAGCATTTGGATAGATAGTTAATAGTTACTTACTTTTAGTGTTTCCTTTTCTCTCTCCCTCTCCCTCCCCCTCCCGTAAATTTTATTTTTAAATCTTTTTATTCTTAGTTTAGAACTTTCTCTTCTTGCGGGTTATCGGGGTTTTTTGGTCATTTTTCCTTGGGAATGCTGAGTTCCCTGGGATTCAAGAGGGGCGTCTCCTGCCATGAGTCTATTCTAATCAGTGATGGCCATCCCCAGTGCCTCTGCTGTTTGGGTGATACCCATATGCCTAGTAAGTGCAAGAGCTGCACATCCTTCAAAAGTAGATCCTGAAAAAAATAGAGAGATCAAGTTTCAACTTCTAACGGTGGAGCAAGCCTTACATTCAGCTTCAGATCCAAGGGTAGAGGACTCCCCTGTACATAGATCTCCCAGTACCAATAGTACCCCTTCCATGCCAAGACCTCAGTCAACAAAGACCACTAGAAAGGTAGGTGGTACTGCAGCATCAAATACTTCTACAGTACCAAAGTCCTCATCTGCCTCTAAACAGAAGGAGGTAGGGAGTAAATCTTCAAGAGAATCTCAGTCACCGAAGCACAGGAGAGCTACAGAGACCTCCGCTTCCAAGGGGAATTCCATGCAGGTTTAGAGTGATGCTGGTACGAAAAGCAACGAAGAAAACTCAGTCTAAGACAGACTTAGTATCGAGTTTGGGTACCTGGATCCTGACTGGCAGAGACATAGGTGAAAAGAGTTAAGCCTGTCCTAGACCAAAACTCAGTACCAATATCAAGGAAGTCAACTGTACCAAAGACTGCCAAGCCTCATATGGTACCAAGGAGATTGAAACCGACACAGTCCCAGGCCAGGCTCTCAGTGCCAATTACATTGGTACAGAAACCATACACTACAGGCTCTCTCACAGGCCAGTGTTTACTGTCAGTAACGCAAGAGTTCAGGACATGATAGTCTCTTCAGAGCCAGAGTCTCCCCTATTAATGAGTGCTGGGGTTTGTCAGCATCAAGACCCATTCGGTCACCACCCCCTCTATCACATAGGGAACCATGCTCGTCCTCGTCGTCTTTGCAAGCTGAACAACTTCCCACCATACTCCAGAGTATGTGGAAAAGGATGCTTCAGATTCTCAGCTCTCTGTGCAGTGTTCCACTATCTGTTCTAGAACACATCACTGTCCCTCCTGCCCTGATGTTTTACAAGTGCATAGACCTCTAATGACACCCTCTTGGCAGAAACACAGATGCCTCCACCTATGCCTTTTGTCCCCCCTCAGTGGCCTTTCTGGGATCCGTGGATGTTCTATCACCAGAAATTTTTGATGAGGTCTTCACCCCACCAGAGGGAACAGAGAAGGACCCATTCTCCTTAACCCTCTTTACTACCACCCATGCAAGAGGAAGAGACGTTTGAGGAACAAGGGCAGACAAAGAGGTGACACCTCTTATGAATGTTTCCTCTTCATCACCGGATGAAGTTGTCATGCCTCCACCACCTTCTATGGAAGATGACTTCAGACCATTTCAGGAACTGATGACACGAGTTGCTGACATACTTCAGATTCCCTTAGAGCAGTGGTTCTCAACCAAGCAGGTTTCAGAGGGTCTGCCAATCAGGGTTGGCACTAGACTTGCTAGGGCCCAGGGCAGAAAGCCAAAGCCGGAGCCCTGCCATGGTGGGTCTGAAGCCTGAGCAGCTTAGCTTCATGGAGCCCCCTGTAGCATGGAGCCATGAGCAGTTGCCCTGGTTGCTACCCCCTAACTCTGGCCCTGGCTTTTATAGTTAGAAAAACAGTTGTTCCACATGTGGGCTGTGGAGTTTTTAAGCATATTGGGTGGGCCTCAGAAAGAAAAAGATTGAGAACCCCTGCCTTAGCGGAGTTTCAGGAGTCCACCATAAGCTCCTAGATATCTTACACACCTTGTCATCGATGAGAATTGCCATTCAAGTGCATGAAGCTCTTAGGGAGCCTACTAAGACTGTTTGGCAAACCCCAGCTACAACACTGCCTACCTGCAACAGAGTGGATAAAAACTATTATGTTCCTGATGGAGAATCAGAGTTTCTATTCTCTCACCCAGCTCTGAACTCCCTAGTATTAGATGCCGTTAATGAACGAGGTAGGCAAAATAGCTCAAGTCCACCCCATACAGTAAGGACCATAAGAGGCTCGAACTTTCTGGCTGCAAATCCCATCAGCTATAACTACATTTTCTCAGCCATCCATGTCCTCCAAGTGACAATTTTGATGATTTGGTCAAGAGTCTGAACCATCCCCAGTCAAAGGGACTTTACAGCTGAAACATCTTACCCCCTCCCTCCTT